TCCAAAGGGTCTCTTTGATGACGCAGATTAGGGCGCACAAACAGCATTTTAATTTGTTTTGTAAGATTATCGCAAACCATCGGAATTAATTGACGTCCCCCTTCCGCTTATTTATTTGGAGAGAAATCAAAATAATTCGCTTAATTCTAAGATGTCAATAGGAATTTGCGTTTTGAAGGCCTCCTGTTGCTCCATTTACACGTTCTAGGCATATGTCGATAACCGTCTCTCACTCTCGGATTGAATAGAACCTCGAGTCTTTGGAAAATCTGGTGAAAACCCTTTAACTCCCATGAGTAACCAAGACAGAATTTCTCCTTACAATATCAGAATATATATCAACCAGATAAGTGATGATCCAGTACTAAATTCTCTGAACTAACATTATGAGAATTGTATGGTTGATAGTTAGGAGAGTTACAAATTTGATCTGGGGGTTAAAGGGTTAAGTATTTTACCCATGAGTTCGAGGCTTTCGCTAATTCCAAAACAACTTTAGGGTCTGGGTAAGTGGCCTGGGCAAAAACTAAGTTTCTGCGATAACTGCAACAACAACATGATCAACAACAACAAAAACAATAATTACGTCATCATCAATATCATTACAATACTGATTATTAAGTAAAAATGTTCATGATGGTAACGAGAGCACGCGAGGACGCCTAGCAACAGAAAAGAGGAGGCTGAGCTGGAAAGGAGAGCCTTTGGCCAAACGACTGAAAAACATCAAGATTATGATCAAGGGGAACATCGGGGTTAACAAAGTCTGAAATGCTAGCAGAAGACTTCCATGCATTTCCTTGAGAGGGCAAGGTTTCCAACCTGAACCAGTCTTGACGGAAAGGATAAGTATTTTGGCATCTATTTAGAAAAGGGTTTTTGAACACCAGGCGAACGATATGACTGACAAGGGCTGAAACTTTCGGACGGATTTATTTTCACTCTTAACTGTCAATTGAAATTGTTAGTCTTAAAGGTTGGATAAATTTGCGTAAATTATCAAACACATTCAATTTTAATGGCGCCGTCTGAATCGGTCGTGTTTGACATGTTTTGAGCGGGAAGTAAAGCTGAGTTTTGAAAGGGATATCCTAGAATGGTGAAGATGAATATCTAGTTATCTCTTGTGATCAGCCTCAAAAATGATATCTAACCCACCGAATTAAAAAATATTTAGTATTCAGAAAGTTCCGCGAAACTGTAAGTCTAGAATATCACTGAATCCTATACTACTTGAATGAATGCCTATTACGAAGCCATTTCAAGAGCGTTCAAAACTCTGCAGATGTAAAACAAATGCACATTAATTGGACAGACTCTACCTGTGCAAGTTTATTACAAAGTTTTATTAAAGGCGAAACCAGCGTTGCACATGCTGTTGAAATATTACTTCTGCACATGTTTTGTTGCGTTTTTTTACGGTGCGGTACAGCCTACAACCGCCTAAGATCACTTTAGGTCGGCACGAGTTGTAAGAAAAAGGGTTAGTTATCAGTGTATATATACATAGTATAAATATAGTTATCCTTTTATTTCTTTATGTACATTCAGCATTTGTGGTTCGTTTTAATTAAAGTGACGCTCAGGTATTAATTTAAATGAGCTGCGTCTTTTGATTTTCGAAAAAACCTCATCTAAATTCTCTTTTTTTCTTAGTTATACGTATTTGTTTAAAGAGGAACTTATCACAGTTTGTTTGTCACTGTATTTTAAATTTGAGAAATCGAGGAAATCTCTAAAATATTAATGGCTTCCAACAATGCAACAACGCTTTGAAAGAGCCAAAAATTAGCATGTCAAAACTGCATTTTTAATCTCCTCAACACATCTGCAAATATCACATATTAAATCTTTCTCTTTTAAGACGTCATTTCTAAATTGATTTTTTGCAAATGCCGATAATGACAGTGAAACAAGATTACCCGAACTTGTAAGGAGCCGCCGACAAAAAGTACGTCCAGACTCTCATTTGTATTACTTGAATTAACTTTACGGCAGTAATTTTCGTCTCTCGTTGATTGCTGCAACATATATGCCTTATTTTTGTCACCGAGGCACTTATGTAATCAGTGCAACTGCTTAGAGAGTATTCAGTCGTCGGGGAACTGAAAATCAATTCTGGAATAATAATGATTTTAAAAAGGAATTGTTCAATACGGCGGGAACTTAAAAACGGCAGTTTCCTTAGTGAGAATTCTCTCTTACCCGTCTTTTTGCGGCAAAGTCTGTCGAATTCATGGGAAACTTAGCAACAGAACATTAAACTTAAAACATCCGCAGTCAAAATGATTTATTCAAATAAAGTCTGCAAATTTTACTCAGTCGATTTGAACTTTTCATTTAAACCAGAGATATCTTTCACGGCATTTTGGGCAAAAGACCATTGCGATGGTTTCCTTGAATGATATTTAAAGTGGTTTCTCGGTATAGCCGTTTCAGAAACGCACAGTGAAACGAAACATGGCTTCGTGTAACCTTAGGGGGAAGTGCCAGAAATTATACCATGTACACTCAGATTTTAGTGTGGTTTCACCGACGGGACACTTAAAAAATTTTTTCGATTATGGGTGTGTTACACAGGACCTGTTGTTTGGCACATACGGTATATCGGTATATATGGGAATTAACAGGCCTCAGTGTATTAGGCTTGTGGTCTTAACAAAGCTAAACTTAATCCTGGAACACCTTAAAAGCAAACTTTTTAATTCATCCGGCGGAAGAGCAAAGAAATGAAACACTAAAGATTGGACGCCATAATTTCACCTCAGACTGCACAGTGACTGACATTTTTGCCTCAGCTGGAGTGTGTTTTTAAAGTTTCCGGTGTTCAATTTTCCAATTAACACTGTTTCACAATATATTCAAACCAGTGCGTTCTGATAACAGACAGCGCTAAGGCATTACGGATTTACCAAAGAATTGATGAATGCGACGGAGGTTTCAGTTTCGCGCACGTCTCACCAAACTTGTTCGGAACTGGTTGAGGAAATGTTTGCGTACATCAGCAGTAAATCAGATCTAAAACCATCTTTGTTAATTGTTGCGTTTTTGTCTAAAAGCAGAAAAAATCCTAGTTTCATCTTTGTCAACTTGACAAATTTCTACTTTATTTAACGCACTCAAGGCATCTCAAGATCCACTCTTAAAGATCGCTAAAAACCGAGACCAGACCGGAGTCAACAAGGCAGAGCCTTATTTGGTAGATCGTTCGCTCTTTCTCTTCAAACGAAGCTTTTAATTTTCCAGCAACCCTTCCCAATTAAGTGTAATTACAGGCGCTAAAATATTCACTGAATTTAAAGTATTGCACTAATTTTTCCCTTTCTCCAGGGCTTTCTAAAGAGCGTTCTAAGTTTATCACTGTTTTCGAACAGTTCATCAATCAATTCCCCATCACAGAGCTCACTTCACTGCGGAAAAAAATAAAATGAACCGGACGACCTCATTTTCAATGTATTTGCTTTCGACAAACAGAAAAATAAAACAAATTGCAGGGCGCAATATTGTTTTGGCCGATCGAAACCTCATTAGATTTAAAAGACTAACAGTCTGTGGAAATAGTGGATTTGCGCGTCGCTTGCTTCGAGCAGACACCATGGGTTTCATAACTCCTTTCACTTTCTTACAAGGCTGTTTTCTTTTCGACGATAGGTTACGTTTCGAACTAAATTTTGATCAGCTTAAAAAAGTTCAGCGCATACTGTACATGACCTACCAGGGTTTCTGTAGTATCGCTTGAGATTTTATCAGTGATGGGATCGGATATAACGATCTTTTGCGTATAAGCTATATATGGACGCATTACCTCAGTCTTATCTATCCTTGCCAGTCAAAAGAAGATGGTTATTTATCTCTTGGCCTATCCACAGCTCGTAGCCAAAACTAATTGAAAACCCCGGTTGGCTTTTTAAAATAAATATCATCTTCAAAACTACAACGTTTGGCAAGTCCGCAGGCTAAGTTTTTAAAGTTTCCCGATTCGAAGAGATGACGATTTCGTGCAGGTATCTTCTGTGAAGGAAATGGATGAGAACTCAACAATTCACGCTACGGTCGTGAGAGAAATTTTTTTATTGGTATTTTCAAAACACTGACGCTTGTTTTTGTGACCATATGTGAGGGAACATAAAAATTAATAGCCTTTTCGTATAATTACTACCTGAGTGCGAAACTAAAACTGTTTTGGACATAAATTGTCTGACAATTAGCTTTTGTGAAACAACATATCCAAAGTTGTCAATTTCGTAGTCCTTGCTACTTGGAATGGTTTCCGGCCAACAGTAAAATGACTGACATATAAAAGATATTAAACCCTTTTTGCACGATGATTCTCTCTTCGTTTCGAGAGAGTTTTCCATTGATCTTGAACGGTGCATTTTCTTTTTGTAAAATTTCACTTTAGCATGTTTCCAAACGGATGTTTAAATAGTTGGTATCTCAGACGAGTGACAGAATTGCAAACACAGCTGAGAAGTTGCTTTTAATTAATTGCTCTGCGCCTGCGGAGTTGCTTTTCAAGCTGCTAAGCGTCACGGCGCTGTTTTTGAGGACATCTTTTAAAAAGGAAATTCTCGTTCCTGTAATTTTCATTTAGACGTACGTGTAGAAAGGACACCGGAAAACCTATTTACGAGGAAAAGTGTCTTTCCAATGACCTTCAAACCACAGAACTTGGGCCGGTGAAACAAAGGGGGCGGGCTCACAACAGGCTGTCTATCATGCCTGAGGGAAAACCATTTTTGTTCTCTGGGGAGAGGGTATGTTAATTTAAAGATTGAGTATCGGAATGCATTATAAATATAAATTGCATTGTACAGAAAATGATATTTTACATTTTATAGTCTGTAAAGCGTTTTAAGTGATCAGTTGATAAACAATATCAGACTATATGGTACAAAAAATAAGCACCCAAATGTTTCACGCTACCTCCCCTCCCCTAAAGTATTTTAATAGCACCTTGCTGATATTGTTAACTGTACTCGGCTCAGTTCACTCACTTTCTACTCGTTGACTTCGCTCGGTATACTCCAGCACAGCTGACCAGAATCAAGGAGTTTGGGACGCCTTTCTCGACCGCACAAGAGGCTTGAGGGCTTATAATGTAACAGAGGAGGTGAAAATGAAAGATGAGGAAGTTAAGAAAGCGACACAGAGCGACGACGAGGGGAAAGCAGCCGAGAACGGCGAACTAGTGCGAATGGATGGTGACGATTCGCACGCGGCCATAGTCAACTCAAATGGCAAAAGCCGAAATAAAGCGAATCGCAAGCGGCGAGGTTCTACTTCTCCTGAGGAGGACATTATTGACGGATTTGCCATCTCTTCTTATTCGTCGCTGGAAGCGTTGGAGGTAGGTAGAAATAATAACTATTTGCGGCCTTCTTTATCAAACTATTAACAGTAACAGGTCGATCAACGGGCTCTCTGTGCGTCTTGGTGTCACAAACACTCGAATTTGCCAAACTAAAACCGACTTAGTCGAGCGGCATTTGTACGGTCGCATGCAAACCAGACGTTTTTATCCGTGATAGATGTGATTGATACCATTCGTTGTTTTGAAAATATTCGTCCTTTAGCCATTTTGTGTACAGAGGGCGGCCAAAGCGGAGATCGTACAATGTTTACTTTTCGCAACAATTCACTCGAGCTTCAGCTTCAAGAACTTCCTACTACCATAAATGTCAAATTTTCAATTGATCGCTAATACCGAGGTAAAGCTACGTTCCGTCGAAGTCTAAGGAAGGGCAAATAAATGAGAGATTTGAATGTAATCGTTGAAAATGCGCCGAATTCGGAGTGCGCGAAACGCTTGTCTTTCAACGAGCCCATTCGGTCTTCGTGCCGATTTTGAGAGGTGGTTCTTGGAGAGATTTTCAAGGAGATATCAACGCTAAATATATAAAAGCCACGCATGAACAATTTCTTATGTGTTGTAGTCTACTAGGTATCATTGTTACTAAGTGATATACTTGGGCTTGTAATTTAGCAAGTAAACCTCGAGCAGACCACAAATGATTTTCGATTGCCCGTGCGGGCCATTTTCGCGTGTTGAGAATGAAATAGTGCTCAAAGTTTGGCCCGTTATCTTCTAAAACTGCGATAGATTCTTTCTTTTAGTCTACATGTGTTCATTCCTTCCGGCATTCTCTATAAAGACACGAAATCCGTGTATCTTGCGTTTAGCTTTCAAGCTGGGAGAAGCTAACGGGTCTGTGTGTTTTGACCACATTTCGTGGTCAAGAGTAAACCTGATAATTCGTCAAGGAACGCCAATGTTTTAATGCAGACAGTTATGCGATAAATCTATTCATTCGGTTCCTCGTGTGAAAAGTGGCTTTCGAATACTCGTTTAAATTTCAGTATTGTGGCCAAACATCTTGCCTTTTAAGCAGTATTAAATATTCAGCGATTAAACTGCAACGATCACAGCCAAACTCTTTCAGATGATTGGATTAAGTTATTAACAAACATTCCACCCTTGTTAGTTGAGTTGGGTTTTGTCAGATTCAACGGCGTAGTCATATAGTTTTTACGTACGAATTTCCTTTTTTCATGGCTTTTTGCCAGACTCTAAACGAAAGGTCATTTTTAAAGTGTGATCCACACATCGAATAACACAAAGCGAATAATATTCCCAAGGGCAGCGTAAGGACATTACATTAAAAATTTTTCACGTCGTTCTCACTTATCCACCAACACTTCTACGAGTATATCGCATTAATGAGAAAAGAAAAAAAAAGGAAAAGGGAAAGAAATACAAGTTTATCCTAACTCAGATGCCTTTGAATATTTATTCCTTCGTAATGTTTCGGTAGTGTTTGTTTAAAGAGCTCGTAATAAACAGAAGAAATTTTATTAATGGTTTGCTGATTCGAACTGCAAATCTCGTTCACTTCGTTTTCTCTTGTTAAACCAGCTTTGTTTAGTTTTGTACCTTTTTACCACTCGTGTGTGTTTTAGTGTCCCCGAGGACTTTCCTTGTTTGTAGAAAGAACAATATCCCCAGGTTCCAGACCAATATATCTGTCTTTCTATTGAGAGACCTTGAGTGTTGGCTTAGAAGAACTTATCTTGAATAGAATTGGACCACTCTCTGTTTCTGTGGCAATCAATTGTGCTATAAAACATGCGAACTGGATCGATGAAGCATTGTGATTTAACAGATAATGCATCTGTGCAATTGACATGAAAGTAACAATTTTGCAACACACTTTCTTTTTATTTTTTTAAAAAGTGCTGTTTGACAGGCTGTTTTTGAGACATTAGTGCTCAATATATTTCTGAGTCTTAACAAAAATTAGATACACTATCACTTTAAGTGTCTTGATAAGTGCAAACTTTCAGTTTTACTTCGTATTTTGGACTCTGCTATTAATAACTAGCTGTAGAAACTTAGTCTGTATTCTCAACAATCCATTGTGATGACATACATTAGCAGTGTAAAATACTTGCTATCCACAGCTTCTCCTGAGGTACTAATTTTGCAAGAAAAATTATTTTAAATCATCGAGTGAAATAGTCACTGCGCATGGAGTTCAATAACGGTTTGGTTTGTTTAAATTTTTGCTTTCTCCACTGTGTGGGTTTTTAAGATACTAGATAGCCTATGGATTTGCCTGAATCTTTGTCTTATTCAATATTAATTAACTTCAAATGTCTTAAGAATTCTCTCCTCTGTTTACTAGCAGGTAGATTCTCATTTGTAGTAATTGAAAGTGACAAAAATTTGCACCAGGCTATTAATATTTTTCATTTTTGAGTATAATGAATTTAAGGAGCTCACAGACAAATATATCCTGTACATCTTTGGGTCAATAACTGTAACATTATGAATTATGACTTTGTTGTGATATAGCAGCTTGGTGTCTGATTGAAACTGTTCAATTTAAGATCAGAAATAATTTGTCAATTTTCAGTGGCTGCAAGTAGCCATAAGGTATTAAAGCTAAGTAAAAGCTAAACTATCCTGAGATAGTTTATTTAAATATCATTTCATATTTTCCTGCAGTCCAAGGGACCCAGCAAACCCGAGCTACTTGTTGATGGACGCCGATCTCACAAAAGCTCCAAGCGAAGTATGGAAAATGGAATAAATGGGAAGAAAAGAAAGTCTGAAAAACGTAGATCCAGGGTATGTCCCCTTGTAAAGCTGTTATTACTTTACTTGTCAAATTTTTTTTTCCAGAAGTTCATATATAGTTTAGTTGTAGCAAAGTGTTATGTGGCTGTGTAAGATTTTGAAGGTAAAGTGGTGGGGAAAAACTGATGAGAATTATTTTGACTGTGGGAAATAAATATGTTCTTGGACAGCTGTCTTTCTTGATGGAAATATCATGCTAGGCTCGTCGTGCCAAATAATCAAAGAACCTTGAGTAATTAAACCAGTTAGGAGTAAAATTAGTCATGCATATTTATGGCAGTCTTTCTTGTCAATTAAGGGGGAGGTTATTTTATTTTGATAACATCAGGTAAAGTGATATGTCTTTCTGTTTGTCTGGTTGCAAACTTCAGGTGTTCCAAGATGTAAATTTGTGTGTTATTTGTACCTCTGTTTTTTGTTCCTGTTTCAAAAAATCTGTTGTCATTCCAATTAACAGCTGAAACCACAGAAAGTTATACAATGTGGGATGCCAATTACTCTGTTTACCTTTTTGTTTGAATTCAATTTCAAGTACAGCTAGACCTCTGGCAAACATCTACATATGAGGAAAGGATTTTTCAAGTTGATATATTTTTCTCTGTTATTGAGTGTGTTATATGTACAGGGTAGGTGAATGATATAAAAGAATTGTCTTATCTATTGCAAAGATGTGACAATTTGATAAAATTCTATACTTTCATGTTGGGATTTAAGCAGCTGAAAAGGTAATTCCTATCCAAGAGTTTCAAGTTTCATCAGTTAAGAAGGGCAGTTGTTTATTTTCTTAAGCCATAGCTGATTCAAGTCTTTCCACACTGGAATGCTTATCATTCAGATTAAGCTTTTAACAAACATCTTCACCTCTTACTGCTGATGATAACAGTCATTGACCAAAGCAAAGCATAATGTCACGGTAAAGCCAAACTCTGACAAATTATTGTTATTGTGCACACTGGAATATTCTTGTAGAGGTGGGAAGTTGCTGTCTTGTTAATAATGTATAGTTTGACCTAGCTTTTGTTTCATTTGATCACAATGGACGCCTAAACATCTTCCCACATAAATTTAGTGACCACAAATTAAAAAAGTGTGAGACCAAGTTAGGTTTCTCTCTCTGTGAGGTGGAATCTGTGTGCTAGATCTTACTGGTGTGCAATGAAGTAGGTCAATTTTTATTTATATCACTGTTAGGTTGTTTTTGTGAAAGCATGACTAAGTTAATCTGCAATATGAAGCTTGTTTCCTTTACATCTGTACCTCTTCAAATAGACTTCTTGTTTTGTATTTTGTTCTTTAGTTTTGTCTTGGTTCCAACCAACCCTCTACTAACAGCTAGCTTCATAGGCACACTTTCCACAATTAAAAATAAAAAATGTTTTGGTACAAGATAAATTGATCTTTGGATTAACCTCTTAATCCAGGATTAATGGTAGTTAATCCTGGTTATTTTTGTCTGAAAGCTTGGTCCACATCTTTTCATGATTTGCAAGATCTTAATTGGGAATTTTTGCCTCTTACTATATCACAAACAAAGCAACATAGTACCTTTTAATTAATGCAGCAAGCTTGCAAATTTATTTCCTCCTTCTTCCCTGCATTAGTCTAAACAGTACATGTGTATGTGGTGATATTCTATGATCCAAAATTGTTAACTTCATGTAGAAACTTTGAAGTATCAAATTTAATGGAAAAGAATGAATCAGAGAATTGGTAGTAGTGTGGCAAATTGACTTGAAGGGAGGATGACTCTCCATAAATATTATGTTATCAAGAGTGGTAGCCATAACAGTACTTGTACAGTATGTCATCAGACTTTTGTCTTTTGATGTTTTGATCATGTGACACAGACAATGACTTTGAGTGCACAATGAAGCAATGGTCAGGCTTTTTGAAGGGTCAATTATTCTCAGTGGTATATATGTAAAATTAAGAAATATATCTTGAGAAATATGAGAAGCTGGTTTCATTTCATAAGCATTTGAAGCTTGTCACAGTTGGAAGTGATTTCATCATGTGGCCATTCTAGATCATGGTCCTTTATTTACTTCCTTGTCCTAGGAAAAAAATCTTGCTTTTGGACACTCTGTACTTTTACAAATTTTCAGTTGTTGATGGGGAATCAGAACTCTAAATTGGAACTAGCAGGGTTGGGAATCTTTGAGAAGGACTGAGATCACTCTTTTTCCTATGCTCTTTGCAGTTATGTAGAATCTTTCATAAATAACCCTCTTTGTCTTTGACTTGAATGTCAGTGGGCATGTAAGATCCAAGCTGTTATTGAAATGTAAGATGACAGGTTGTCAGGTGAACAACTTTGTTGGCAACTAAAGTAAGGTTATGCTTTTCCCTGCCTTGTGTTGCTTGCATTATCAGCATAGAAGCAATCTAAATTAAGAGAACAAACACTTATGATTTCCTTAGCAGCATTATCTTGTATTTTGTTTGTTCTTGTACTTTGAATGTTGGAAGCATAATCAATTTGGTTGATGGCCAGTACATGCAGATTGTGTTAGAGGGACAAAAATTTAAATTTGTTCTAGCAAAAACCAATTTTGAACAATCTGTTGCATTTCAAACTATGCTACATGTAAATAGAAAAGTCATCAGAAGTTGTTGGTTGTTTTGTCATCTTTGGCTCATAAATATGTGGATTGTCAAAAGAGAATAGTGGCCAACCACTCAACTGGTTACGCCCAAACACTGGTATCCAGATTGTCCTTAATCTCCTCTGTATATTTCCTCTGGCACTGACAAGGAGAACTCATTCCAGAATCAAAGCTTCTTAAGTTGGCAATCATTTGCTTTGTTCTGCTGATCTTAATAAATGATTCAGCAGTAGTGCTTTGTAGCGCTCAGTAGTGCCACAGTTTATATGTATCTAGTACCATGGCTAACTTTTTTGGACCTATTAACTCCACTGATTGTTGATCTTAAATCAACTCACTGATACATGTATGTGTACCTTTTTTATTGATCAGATGCATCATGATCCTAAACCTAAAGACACAGATTCAGAGGATGAAGCAGGTGTAGAGAGGAAGAAACCTGAGGGTTCTTGGTTCCCTCCCAAGCGAGAAAAAGGATCAAACACTAGTGACGTGAGTAGTACAATTATATTTTCCATAGTTAAATCTTTTTTTTGTGTGTCTTAAGCCTATGCCTTGCTTGTTGAAGAGTTTGGAGAGCAATAATTACATTGGGAAAAAATTTCATATGACTTTATCTGTAACTCTGAATGGAGTGGAAACTTAAAAGTATTGGATGTATAAATGAAAAATGTCTTAAGTTCAAAGAGGAAGGGTGGGTAAATAATTTATGACATATTTCTACGAGACAAGTCCTCCTGAGAGGGACAGGAAGAGAAAGGGTTTGTGTGGCAACATGGTTTGAGTGGACATAGAAGTCAAATAAGCAGTGGTCAGGAGTTGTATGACTAAAGTTACTGTAAATTGAGAGGAGTCATTGATTAACTGTGCCAGGTGTAATATTTATTTGCTGTCACTCTAAAAGTAAACTTTTCACTTTATTTGAAAGTTTCTGGCATGATTGAGTTTACTGTGTACCTATTCATATTTGGATATGGATACAACCTTTGATTCTTGCCATAAATACTGTCATATTTTCTATTCAAGCACCAGCATATTGTCGCAAGCTATGTTCTACAGGGTATTTGGGAGTCAGATTATACTTGACTAACAATCAGACATAAATGCTTGAAGGAATATCAATTCGCATTTCACAAAACAGGTTATGAAGTTCAACTGGATTTCATACATAGTTTCCTTTGGGCCAGCTGAATTTTCTCTCATGGAACATTGTCTTAAACTTGTTAAGCATATGAATTTTTTCTGATCTTTTATTGATCTTTCGACAGGACAATTCAGACTCTGCAAGTTCAGACAAAGGTTACTGGGTATGTTTTGTTCCGTTGAATCATTTTTGTTTACTTTTCTGCTGTGAATGTGTTTCTAAAGGCTAGTGTACAGCTGAAACATCAGCATGCATAGTCCTTTATAATTTCCTTTCAGAGTTACTTTTATGATTCAAATGTGTCAACTTGTAACTTTTTTTTCTTTTCTCTTCATTTTCAGTGTGATACTGAGAGTGAGGGGGAAAGGGTAAGAATCATCTTTAAATGTCAATTTTGGTAGAGGCAAACTGCAGTTGAGTCAAGGCAGTGAATTCAGTTTTCAGCCATTGTGTATGTAAATTTTCAGAACAGCAAAAATGCCTGAAGGTAATTTGATTAACACAAAGGTACCAATGAAAGCTGGTTACTAAACTGCTTTAGCCACTTATGTTAGACCTCCTACAGCTTTTTGTAATGATTTTATCTATGATATTTAAATGGCCCATTTCATGGAAACAGCTAACAATTCCATTACCCGCTAACCCTAAGCAAAATGTTCTTGAGATCGCTGTTGACAGCAACAAGGAGGGAGAGTGTGTTATGACTTGTATATTGATGATCCAGGGCTTGACATATTTATTTTGAATTACAATTGTCCCTCTCTCAGTCAACCGTCTTGTTTTTTAATTTGCCTACTTGTCAGCTGCTGCACTTTTCCAAGCTAGCCATACTTCCCATTAAATTAAATGTACCAGGCTCTCTAGAAAGCTCCCACCCTTGTATGAAACCAAAAATGTAAAGTTATCACCAACTTGGTAATAATTTTAGTCCTAGGTTTAATTCTCTGACCCAGTCCTGTATAATACCATGAAGTGGCATGGGTTGGAAATGTTTCCTTAGTAGACATTATACTTTTTAAATTTTTTACAAAATTAGTGTGAAACTCAATATACCATGTTATGTTTTATTTTGGGAAATCCAGTTTTTCAGTTGATTAAGTTACTTGTTTCATGTTGACACAATATGTTCATGAAATGTTTTGCTTTACCACATAAATAATTTTTTACCCACTGACCCAAAAGTTTGTCACTCCTCTAGTGCAATGAAATTGTGACACCCTAGGTAGCAAGAAAATTCCATCTATGTATATTTGTTGTAAATAAGCTCAAATGACAGAGTGCTCTTTTGCATTTTAGATGTCTGATAATGAATCCACAACTACTTCATCTGCTCCAAACAGTAAGTGGTTAAATATATTCCAACAAAATTGTGAGTTTTATTCAGTAAATTAAGTCAGACAACAGGCCTGTGTGGAATGTTGCAACTTTATTACAGTAGGCTTGTATTTTAGTAGCAACTTTCTATTCCCCCACATTCCTGACCACCTTTGTTGGGATTGTTTTCAAGTACCCCACACCTCCCCCCAGCCCCTCACCTCACCCCTTCCTATAGGTGCTGGGGTTGGGGTTGGGGTTGGGGTTGGTTGCTAGGTTGTGGGGATTTGCCAGCCATGTGGGTGGTTTTCTGTCTTGGGGTCTGTCTTGGTCACAGTGGAAGTCCCTGGATACCCTGACACCCACCTGTTCCTCATAGTGGAGGCAGCAGTTAATCTATGGGAAAGTTCTGTTAATCTGAGCTTCAGATTATATTTAGTCCATGATACTTATGACTGTGAATTAGGATTTGATGTGTGACCCATGTCACTTCTAGAAATGCTTACTACTCTCCACAGTATTCATGCATAGTCAACTGGGCTGATGATGGGAATGAAGTAAAATTACCAGCTAATGTGTGTTTTGTGATAGAAGCCTGAATTCTTTTCACTAGCCTAACCCATGGCAACTAGATGGGAGAACTACTTGAGTCTTTTTATTTGGGGGGGTTAGCCACAAATTTGCCACAGTTTCGTTCAGCACTGCCAACGTTTGAAATGTTATTTTCCTACAGGTTCATTGTTGAGTGTGAAGACAACAGTTTCTACTACCAAACCGAGCAGTACTGAAATAACAGATAAAGAGGTGGAGAAGAGTGTACCAAAACCATCAGAGTGGACAAGGTTAGTTAGTGATGACCCCTTTAACCCCTAAGAGTGACCAGCATCTAATTTTTCCTTACAATATCACCCCTGAATCAAACATTAAGGTCATAAGAAAAAAGGAAATGATCATCGAGTAAAGATGCTGTAGGATGTTATATGAATCCTCCTTGTCAGCGCATTAGGAAATTTAAAGAGAACATTATGGAGAATATGCATGCTGATGTTAGGGTGTAAAGAATTAAGGCATGTTTTAACGTAATACATATGTACTCTTAAGCTGCTGTAACATTGCAATTATAATTGTATTTTATAAATATCTTAGTTGTTCAGTTATTTATGTATTTGTATATGTGATTGCTTATTTTCTGCGTCACCAATTAGCTTTCGTTTAATCGTTTAACTCCCAAGATCCAAATAGTAATTTTTCTCACCGACTGTCATGCATTTTCTTTTCAATTAGACCAGAAAATTTTTTGTTATGTCAGGGTTGTCTTTTCTAATGACCAATTTGTAAGATATTTCAGACAGTACTGTTTAACCTTGGAGAGGCACTGAGATATTTTTCCTGAGACAGAGCTTAAGCTTTATAAATCAGTTAGCTGGACAAGAGACATATTGATTTTTCACTCATCAACGAAGTTTTACCCTCCTACTGCTCAACTGCCCTGTCTGTTCATGTTTCAGTTCCACGTCTTCTTCCTTTTCAACTGTAACAACCCAACGTCCCAGCAGCCATGGTTCGAGTAGTGCTTCCACAAGCTTACATCTGGCACTGACGACCACCACCACCATGAGTCACCCCATGACCCCCACCTTTGGACACGCCCATCATGGCAGCCTGTTCCCCCACTTTCCGTCCTTCCATCCCCACCCCGGCGCCATAGGATATCCTCATGGACCACCGCCTGGCGAGTCACCTTTTCCGTATCCAAGTAATGCACCAGGATTCAGACACGGGCTCCACATGACCTCACACCACCCCCCTCCTCTATTCAAGGAAGAGCGTTTGGACCACAGGGGGTGGGGTTAGGCGTGGAAGCTAGTGCTGAGTCATGCACTTTAGTTTAGAAGTTTATACTGCACCTTTAAGCTGCACTAGTCAAGTTACGTGTTTGGTTCATTCAGTTCGTAATGTGTGGCTAGGAAGTTAGCGAGAGCAACGATACGAAAATTCAGAATTAGTTGAGGGTAGTGGATAGGAAATCTAGGGTATGCATGCATGTCCGCCAAGACGCTAACGACTTATGAATTGAAAGAACCCAAACTGGTTTGACATGTGCTTGTAGCACATTGATGAGATACTGAACCCTTCGTGGAATTGAATAGCACTTGTCTGTGCATATTATTTCCGTTCTTTTCAATCATCTTGTAGAGCGCAGGGCAAAAAAAAATCGCCGCGGTAGATTTTCAGAACGCGAATTTAGAGGGGTGATGAAGGAGAAGAGGAAACGCACCGTGGTTGGACTCGCTCTCCGCGCTCGATCACGCTCCGCGCTTGGTCACGCACGCACGCTCGCTTCGTGTTTCCTCTCTAAAGTATGGAAAATAACGTGTGTGGACATACTAGAATGTTCCTCTCCCGGCCATCAAATGTTTGCTATTTTTTTTTTTGTGTCAGTTATACCAATTCGTGTTTCAGGGAAGAATTAGATGACAGTTCGATATGTTATCGATGTGGAATCAAGACAGTTGGAACTTTTGTGTTCTCGTTTATAGGAGAGTTTAGGCGACATCTGTCAGATTAGTGAAGCTTAGTCATGTCTTGTTTTAACTTTTGTCAATCCTCTACATCCCAAATAGTTTTCCTGCCTTTTTCGTTACTATGAAGTCTTAAATGTTTTTCCCTCTCCAAAAAGAACTAAAAAACTTGCTTATGCGTCAGCTGTTTGTTCATTTAGACGTGATGCAGGTGGTAAGTTTGGAAACAACGAAAATACGTAAGAGTTGCTCGAGGCGTAGCCGCTGGCATGTCTAGAATTTCGAGTGCTCTTCAAACTTCCCAAGTGCTCTTAGATCTCTATGAGCAAACAGCTGACCTGAGAACTAAGTGTTCCAGACCTTTTCAACGCCGTTGTTTAAATGTTGTCCAACGAGACATTTCCTCTCCCACGCTTCAACACGTTCACGCTCTTCATAAGTGTGCACAATGGGAATATGAGCCCACGCATATTAATTTGTTGAACACGAATATCTTAACTTTGTCGTAAGTATGTTTGGTGGACTCCTTCAAGTGGAACGGGCATTTCGTAGGCCGCAAAAGTAATTTTAAAGATTAAGAATAAAAGCAAACAAAAAATGGTGAAAAAAAAAAATGATGAAAAAAGATTAAAAAACCAAAAAAAACCAGTAATTCAACAGACAGCTTGTTTGGGCTCCATAAGGCACATTACGGATTTATCTAGTGGCGTCCTCAAATGTATCTGCTAAAGTTAACAATCTCCTCCTTGCAGGTCCTGAATTTCTCCGTCACGAGCTTAACAACCGTTTCCTGCAGTCACAAGCAGCCGACAGGGTCCCTCCCGGGATGAGTCCGTCTCAGCTCATGCATTACGAGTCTCATCAACACCATCACCAACATCTGCATCAGCACCAGCATCAACATCAGCATTTCCATAGCAACGGTGCGCCGGTGGCAACCCCACAGGTATCCCAATCTGGTTTGAATCCTGCTGTACGTGTTGAGTAGATGGGTCATTGATATTTTTTTAAGCGTATTATTTGTCCACGTTTCGTTTGCCGTATGAAAAATTTGAGGTTGGTGAGAGAAAGGGTTGGACTTGGTCGGAAAGGGAGGGGGGGAGGGTTGTCAGTTACCAACTTTTAAAAAAAGTGTAATGTCATTTCACTCAAACGTGGCTGCAAGGCTTTCGCTGATTCACATTAAATTACAATATATATGGTGCCTCCCTATCCTATCCTCTGTGCTCCAAAAACTCTAGGGACTTCAAGAAAACCACGACGGCGACGACAACGAGAACATAAGAAGACAAAAGAGCCAATGAGCAAAACAATAGCGAAATACGGGCGTTTTAAAACTTTGTACAATTCTTAGCCGTCCCATACAGAATAAGAACGCGAAATCTTCAACTTTTACGTTCCCCTAGCAGGGAAACCTCGACAGCGATTTAGTCACAGTTTTACTTTGAACTCGACATACATTTGCATTGTATGCCGAAGTGAAGATTTTTTACCGTCAGAAAAGGTTAACGCATCAAGCTATCGGCGAAAATATTAGAGGAAACGTTTCACCCCACGTCGCCGTAGCGAAAACTTAAACTCCCTACTAAAGAACGTAAGCACGGACGTTTTGACGAGAGGCGACGGGAGGGTGAATGGAAATAGCGTGGGCGCTCCTTGACCGCTATCAACAATTAGCGGGCGTTTCTGAGAGGCGCAGAGTAAGAGGAAATTGAGATAATGATAAGAAGAGAGGGCGACCCGATTTGAGGGATTAAGGTCTTTTTCATTGAAAGTTGAAGGCAGTTAATCCTTAGTAACCGTGCGTGCCTCTGAAATGCCTCTGCTTACCCCAGATCGATGAATTTGTCCTGTGATGCTGGTGAGATTTCTCGTGAGAGTGCTTTGTCCGGTCGGCTTTGTCACTCGATGGGCTCAATTGAGATCTCTGCCGCTGAATTGAGAAACCTTTCAGCTGAGCACGCTACTAAATATACTTTTCAGTGGCGAGCAGGGAGTAATTGTCATCAAGGTTGATGCATTTTCACTCGGGGTCTCTACAGGTTTTGGTTAATCTGGAAAGTCTTGGAATGAATCATATCATTTTCCAAGCTTGGAAATTAATGAAATGCAGAACGACCCATAATCTCTTTTCATCTTCTTTTGGTATTCGCCGTTCACAACCATAGTGCAAAGAAAACATAAAAAAGATATTTGGAAATGCCTCGGAATTGTATGATTTTGAAAGAGTTCCAACCCTATGACAGAGAAGGCTATTGGGGTTGGATTCTCCTCGTGTAGTTAGTGTTTTTTTTTCCTTCCATGTGGCTGTGTACTTTAAGTATGCTATGTTTTTGTGTTTTTCCCAGCTTGGAATCCCTCCTGTTGGCTCATACAGCCCAGTACCTCCCCCTCTTATACCAAAGGTACTGTTTTTTCCTGTTATGTTTATTGAGGACGTATTTCTCACGACTCTAAATCTTTTCTGTAAAATGAGCGGGAAAATTCGCATTCATCAATTTCCTCTTCGCTATGATCAGTTTCTACTAGACTATTTTTTCTACTGATCAAGTCATCGAACTGAAAATTTAATAGGATCGACGACTTTATAGATGCGAATTCTTTCTTGATTTGTTTGCCTTGCAAGTCGTTTGAAAACCGTTCCTGAGAAAACATTTTGGGGAAGGCATAACCCGCTTGAACGTTTGCTTTGGACCTCATGGGAAACCTTGTTATCTCCGTTCCTCTTGTTGTTGTCGTTATTATTATTATTAGTAGTATTAGTAGTAGTAGTATTGTTATAATTATTTTTTTTTTTTTTTTTTTTTTTTTGACGTAAAATTAAAGTTCTTAATGATGACGTTTTCTATAATTGTTGTGGTTGATAGTTTCCATGATTGATCCGAGTTTGTTAGTTTGTTTACTTTTTTTGTCTTTTCCAACGTGTACACAGAAACCTGGGAAATGGTGTGCAGCACATGTTCAGACAGCATGGCAAATTTACTATCATCAGCAGAAGGTAAGACACCATTGAGCTTCGATGCGAAGCGATGGAGCAGGCAACAACTTGGGTCAAATCAATGACTTAAAAGGCACAAAAAGCCCTAGTGTCTTGACAAATCTTCTCCATCCTTGAATTTATACATCACAAATTAGATTACCAATCGAGGCGAATGGTTGAATTTGGGCGACAAGTCCCTCCAGTAAACCACTGCGCGAGTTTTGTTTCCACAACAAGTCACCGCAATTTGATTTCTCGTTCTCATTTTATTACCAAATTCAAACCAGTTTGAAATTTTTGGAGTTGTTTTGGGCTCAAAATTCTGTCGCAGAGACGAGGATCTTCACAAACATTTCCCTGTGTCACACTGAGTTTATCGTGACCTTCCCGCGTCGTGTCATCGACGATTGTCGTTTGGTACATGAAAACTGTGGACTGGGGTCAACATTGTTGCCACTTAAACCTGGTCAGTCTCTTTAATCTCATTTTCCTTTTTTCGCTTTTCTCAGGTTCAGGCAGAGTTGCACAAAGACCCTCATGTTAAACCAGACCAAGTGCCCATCAGTAGATCAGGCACTTGCCTCTCGTTGCACTCACGCCCCAGCAATCATGAAGCGCCGCCGTATCACGTCCATGGTCCAGGAGCCGTTAGTCCAGTCGCTACACCTGCCATTCCTGCTGGTATGTATTATTTACTCTTGTCGTCCCCTTTACTCTTCTCTTTTCACTGGATTTAAATGTTAATATGACACGGCACTTTTTTTTTTTTTTTTTTTTTTTTTTTTTTTTTTTTTTTTTCCCTATATATTATACCTACATATGTACTTACACTATACTTGCTTCTTACACGATGCTTACACTACATTAACTTGCACTACTTGCAATACATATATTACAATACAATTACACTAGTCAAATTGAATTACAGTTGACACGTCACTTTGTAGTTGCTTCTACAAACGTCAACATCAGCTGAATCGAAAGCACCCTGTTCAGAGTGCGGTCCTTCTTTTTCGGTGATGAGGTGATTTTCATTCGAACTCTTCGTGGGTAGCTTTAACTCCATTTCATATGACTTACCTTCCTTTACTCTTCACTTCTGTTCCTCTGCAGCTGCTGGTCCATTTCTGACAGGAACTCCCATTCCTACAGCCCACAGTACCAACCATGGTATCGCGCACCTCAGTGGGGGATCTGTAGGCATTCCGGCGGCCCCGCCTGCTATTATGGGACTTGGCGGTAGTCCCGTTGGGGGATTGAGATCGGGTCTCGGCGCATCTATTTCCAGTCCTTTTCGAAGCATCGGGAACAGTAGTTTCAGCGGACTGGGCAGCTCACTAGGCCTGGGTTCTAGCTTCAGCAGTGTTCATGGAGTGAAACCCGAGTGGAATCGTATGTCAAGCAGTCCAGCATCCTATCATTCCTGGCTGAGCCGTGAGACGGAACGAGAAAAAGAAAGAGAAAATGAGCGTGAAAGAGAGCGGGAACGTGATCGAGAACGCGAACGCGAACGTGAACGTGACCGTGAACGTGACCGTAGTAGCGATCGAGATCAAGATAGAGATAAGGAGAGAGGGATACCCGATGCAAGGGACAGAGGAAACCTCCTGGCAGGAAAAATCCAGGAGAGGGAGCGTGCATCACTTCGTGTCTCTGACGAGGAAGGCGATAGTAGCCAAAGGCTTCGAGACAGAGATAAGCCCGTTGAAGGACGAAGATCGCCGATCAGACATTCTCACTCGACTGGTTTTAACATCGCCAGTCTGACAAGCGCAGAACCTAAACCGGAAACGTCTTCTGCGCAGGAAATGCGCACCTCGTTCGAGCGCGAGCGAAGCTTATCGACCTCTGCCACAGTCAGCAGTGTTCTTTCAAGTGGTAGGAGGGAAGAGCCCAAATTACCTGGTGACAGAAGATCTTCTGAGGATCACGATCTTGTTATTCTGTCAAGTGACAGACATAGTGGTGGCCATTCACATGGCGTCTTGAGTTTTATGGACAAACGGAGTATTTACGAGGACAGAGAGAGACCTCGCGAACCATTCGACCTTGCTCGTTTTGCAGTACGCCCTCCGGTGCCGCACCGTATCGGTCTATACCCCCCACCTCATGCTCATCCCCACCCGTATTCCCTTCCCCACAGCCACGCTCATCCTCACATTGCCCCTCCCTCTCTCTTTGCACATGGAGGGTCCTTGGCGAACCCGTACCTCGGTGGTTCCGCCATGTCAGCAGTTACACACCCGCCAGCCATGCCGGGATTTCTTCCTCCACGTGGAATGCTGGGACTAACACTGCCTGGCTTGGGACCGCGAAGCAGAAGTCCTGGTGATGTGATCGCTGCTGAGCACGCGCGAACTGCATCGGACATTCTATTGGCTGCTGCTCCGGAAGGCAGACCATAAGCTACACGATGTACATAAAATGCAGTGGGGTGGGGTCGGGGCCTGTTTCGTTGTGGCTCCAAGACTACGTATGATATAAAATTTGTCAGTTTAAGTTAGGTTTATTCATGTAACATAGCGACTGCTGATGCGGGAAACGCCGTCATACTCTTTCACTTGTCTACCAATCGATGATCAGAGGCAGTCACTGAATTCACTCATATAGTATGACTATAGTTTAGAAAACGAGATATTAAGCGTATCATGAACATGTTTGGCTGATCTTTTTTAGACAAGTGGAAGATTATAATTCATATTCTTGTTATTTATGACTTGATAAAGCCCGAAACGCCAGCCCTTGCTCAGAAGTAATGTCGATACGACTTTTGATCAAGGGTTGGCCCTTCAAAAACCAGAATCGTTAATCTTTTAGGAGAGAAATTGTCGTTAGTAGATGAGGGTAATCTAAGCTCACCAGTGGTTGGCATTTATTGAGAAACTTCCAGAAATTTCCTTGTTCCTTTACATAATTGACACATATATTTGAGAACGCCACAGAAGACGAAGGTAGATGTTTTGTTGCTGTTTATGATAGTTTTACAAAGTTACTAAGCACTTGGGTCGGGGAAAGAAGTTTCCTTTTCGTTAGTAATACGTCTCTCCAGGAAGTTTAGAAGTCCTACTTATTTCCCGTTAGTATTTCAAAGATTTCTCGGACGGGTCCTCTTTTAAGTGTAAGGGTTAACTTCCTATTACGTGCTACCGTGACGGAGAGATTACTAAGCTGTGAGATCGGGTTGACCCGACTGCTATCACTTTGTAGCCATACAGACACGCTGAAAGATTTACAAAAACGAATATGAAGGGCATATATGAATAAGCAACAGACCAAACTGGTTTTTTTCCCCGCGGCGTTGTATTTTAAATTCTTGCCATTTAAAGGCCTTTTGACTCTAGCACAGAGTTAATTTCAGCACATTGACCCCGTTTCTGCGGATTTCGTGTACCATTTGCAATTATTATCCAATTTTGCTGTAGAAAATTTTCTTGTGGAACATTCATTGCGACCCTTGCGCAGACTTATGTACATTTTGATAAATGTAGAACGCCGATACGATTATTTGTATTTTCCTCAAAAGTACTATGACAGAGAAAGAAAAATATAGAGGAAATCGATTTAAGTTTAAGCAATTCCCATATTTACAAGTGAGGAATTAAATTATTTGCCCTCCAATGTTAACTGTGTGAGATATATCTTGATATTGTCATCGCTTTTTGTTACGTATGATAAGGTTCTGAGTATGGGAAAGTACGTCGTCTGACTTATGACTTATTATGAGGTTTGCAAATCTTCGCGCGAGATCGAGAGAAGGAACTTTGCTCGAACTGGATGGTTAACTTAGGCCTATACACCTAGGTCCAGCTATTCAGCGGATGGATAATGTTTTCCGTTAGATAAATCGCTATCCGCTGGAGTAGTGCTCACGAAACGTACCGGTTAATACACCGGTTAGCTGAGAAAATTTAACCTTAATTATGATGGAAATACATATGCGCTATTGACCAAGCGTGAGGTCGAGATGGTTGCACGTTGGCCGAGTTCTGTTCATGGGTTTTTATGAACAGAGAATTCAATAAAGGAGTTATAGAGAAAAACGATTTCGATATAGTAAGAATCAAGAATGACATGTTTATTTCGAGAACCGGAAGAGAAAGCCGATTGTGTTTGTAGCACAATAAACTCACGAGAGCCGTGCGTGTTTCCTTTGTTTTGACTTTCTTCTGTCACTTTTTACGATTTCATCGCCAACATTGTCCAAATATTGCGAACTTTCTCAAGTCCGTTGCCCGCAAATTTTTGACTTGTGCGGGATGAAGGCGGGTAATCCCAAGCGGGCAAGATGGGCCCATCTTACCCGCTCGGGAAGCCAATCAGAATACAGTATTCGTTTCATGTTGCACACGAGCGCTACCGGCTGTGTAATTATTTCAAAATATTACTAGTTTTTACAAGGGAATAATGGCGATGATCATGCTATGGAGATGCGACGGACAATCTTTGAACTGGCCTGGTAGAGTTAAAGTTGTGAACAACAAATACCACGTAACTTTAGAGTCTTGCCTTTTTGTTGATCATGCATTTCATCTTCTGCTAATTTTAGTAGAGGTTCTTTTCCATTAAACCACTTTCCAGCTATATTAAGTTTTGATCATCGATCAGTTAAAAAGCGTTGATAAAATATAAGGTTGCTCACAGTGAGTAATTTGTGATCGTGTATCGTGTATTTTACTTTTGAATTTCGCACGCATTTTTGATTGGTTCTTTCCTATTATCTATTGGAGGATAGAAGCATATATTACGTCACCACTGACAAATTTTTTCGCTTCTTTGTTGTGGAAAACAAACATATTCCATGTTGTCTAATAACACTTCAAAATGTGGTAAGAACAAAAAAGTGGCACATGAGGCGCAGCCGAGTGTGTCACTGATGTTTTTTTTTACGTCATCTGTGATGTATTACTGAACAGGCGCAGGGAAACACGCAATTTATTTGTTAATTTGATTATATAAGCCCTTTTTAAAAAGCACCGTTAAGGAATCGAACATTTAAATATGTTCGATACGTCATTTTGTAGTCTTGTTAAAATACTTGTGATGCATCATTAATCACGAGTGCCATTCTCGATCATGTCTTTTTTCATAGACCTCCGTTGGTTGTGCGTGACCGAAACTTACACCACGTTTTCATGAAAACGCACGCAATCTTAAAGAAATAACTAATTAGTGATCACCTTAATGTATATGCATGACGTCTTACTCTTTTGGCCTTCTCATTTTCACAAATATTGGCGATTACCTTAGGCAGTCACCGCAATGGTTGGCTACATTCCATTAGTTCGTGACAAAATTACGTAACGCAATGACCAAAACATTTTGATCACGTGATAAGATTTTGCAATCCCCGGATTTATGAATTAAAAATTTGGCGGCCATTTGTGTTAAGTACATGTCTACCAGTTGTCTCTAAGACAAAACTAAAGTTGGTTCGCTGGCAATAATCTATCGCCATGTTTTCCTTCAAGAAGAAGGACAAGGATAGGGAAAAAGTTATCGAGACGAAAGAAGAACGAAAGGAAAGGAGAAAAAAAGAGAAGGATAACAAAAACAAAACTGATCGCAAAGCTCATGGCGAACTAGGGAACATAGTTGCTGGCTCTGAGGAGGAGAGACGAGGGCGATTTAGTTTTAGAAAACAGGATAAACGAAGGTACGATGTTGAGCACGATTATGACCAAAGAAATCCATCGCCTGGAACTGAGCATCTTGATTTGTATGGCAGGAAAGGTCGTTCGAGTAGCACCGATACAACTGGTAGTACAACTAGCGGTTCGGCCATTCCTTCTCCATATTTGTACGGATCTTCTACTAATGTTTCATCTAACGCAGTTTTTTCCGAAGCGGTTCCGCAAGCAAATCGTAGACATGTAGACGATGAAAAGCAAGAAGTTTCGGAAGTCGGGAAACCTGTCCCGAAACCACGAGTGAAGAGAAAGAAGAGCTCGAGTATTGAAATCAAGTTGCAAAGTCCGAACCGGCAGAGTTACGAGTCTCAAGATCGAGAAAAGACAACGAACGAGGAGGAGGGACGAAACCACAGAGCCGAAGTTAATGGCAATTCTTCAATTAATGCGAAGTCTTCTGATGAAGGTATATCTGCTTCGTCGATGAACGATAAGCATGTTTTGACCGATAGCGCTCCACCTAAACCTCCGCGTATTTTAGCGGATCGCGCTGGTGTGGTTGAGTTCGAAGTCAAGCTGATCAATGTTGGTTCCGAAAACGATCGAAACAAGGCTAATTCTCAACGATCCATGGAAGTTGATCGACCTATCACTGCTACAAGCTCTGTGCAGTCTTTCGCCGGTCCACCAAGCGATCCGAAAATTGTTTTGCCACCAAGAGATCTGAACATTTCCTCGCCGTCGATTCTGTCTCCTACTGATAAAACTTTGGAGGAAATGGGGGTCGATTTGCAGCTACCGGAAGTGAAGCCAGCCATTTCTGGTATTGCAAGGGTGATAAAATTAAAAAGGCGCTCTAGCGGTGATTTTGGGTTTGCTCTGAGGAGAGCTAATGCCCCTGGAAGCGGAAAAACTGTTCACTTTGTGGAACCCGTTGGCCCAAATAGCACACCGGGTTTGCTACCAGGAGATCGACTCGTAGAAGTCAATGGAATCAACGTTGAAAATGAACCGAGAGAGAAGATTATCGAGATGATTGTTATGTCGGGAGAAGAGGTCGTTATTAAAGTTATCCCAGTACCGGAACTTTCAGAATTGAGCGTGAGAAGTGGTTTGGATGGATCGACTGTTCAACTTGACGAGTCGAATCTCAAGGCCGGAACTCTGGCTCGGAGTGGAAGCAAAAGAATTAAAAAGAAGGTGAGTACATTTCTTTAATTTAGTTCAAGTAAAATTGCTGATAATAGAATGTACTAATGGAGTTCTGAGGTAAATATGTTATAGCCTTCATTTGTGTACTTTGTTGCCTACGCTCTGTTGATATTCCTGTCAACTGTATTTCTGAATGTCAAGGTCGTTGATCGCTTGGAATTTAACCATGTGATAATTTGCATGTTCTGACTATTATGACAAAACATCCCAGCGGTCGATATTCCAATACCACATCCTGAAATAGTATTAGTAAAGCTCTGTTTAGTTTGAGGTATTCGCCTCTGATCTTGTTTGATTTTCACTGTTTGCAATGCATCAGTGGTTCAAATTTGCATTAGAATAGGTTTCCTTGTTAAAATTTTATTAGAGTTAATTACTGCATAGTGTAAAATGTATAGGACTTCCTTCATTTGACAAAGAATCACGTGAAATTAAGTCCGTGAGCTTTGTTCCCTGTTTTAAAAACATACCACTTTGACATGGAATAAACACGGCCTTGTCAAAACATGGATATTGCCCAGTACAAGATTCCGATCGCCAAGAAATATATTAAGTCTCTGTTTACAGGAGTTCTGCTAGGAATGTCACAGCATGAATATTCTTTTGGGCCAATTTGGGTTTTCGAATTTTACTTTGGTATCTTAAAATTACTTTAACCAACTAATCCAAAGGAAATTTTGTTCCAATTTTTTTGCTGCTGCTCTCAAATTGCTCTCTGTTGTTTTTGTCAACATTCTTAAGATATAGTAATTTTACAAGGTGTCTATTGTTTGAAAGAAAGTGAGTTTGATCAAGTTAAGGAATTAATTGCTTTTTTCTTGTGTGCATCCCTTAAGGCTGAGTGGATTAAAATGGAAAACCCCACTGTTTGATTTGATACATGCTAAGTGTTGATTATGATAATTTAGGTAATTCGGGAGTGATGTTTGCTATGACACAACTTTTTGTTGAAAATATTTCAAGAAATCAGAATAAGGGTATTAAGGATATACAATAAACCTTCTCAATTACTGTTAATTGCATTAATTCTTACATTCTTTTACTTAAGTATCTTATCATGGATTTGTATTAGGAAGAATTACATCCAATAGCTTTGCTTGTGACAGCTTCTGTTTGCATAATGGTGAAGCAGGAGGTGGAAAGGCTATAAATATTTCATAGATTCTAAATGATTTGGTGTTTACTATGCTGAAATTGAGATGCAGAACTATTAAGTATCTTGTGATGGAACCTCCCTTAAAATTTAAGGTTTGCTTGAATATAATCGCTATCTTAATGTGATTGGAACATGATTTAGGATTTTGAGAGGTTTTTTTTTTCATTATCAACAGACATGTATGTGTAGTAGAACCACATTATTTATACCTTTTCTAATAGAAAGATGGGGTAATAACCTTGAGAAAGTGAGGAAGTTTTTAAAGTGATTCTTATCTTGGTGTTTTGTTTCAATTTGGAAGTTATGTTTATATGTTTTCCTGGATGAGTTATTTGGTGTATGTAATGGATTGAAATATTAGTGTATGTTATGGCTACTGGTAGATTCTAAGTCGAAAAAATTCTCTAATGTCTCCACTTTAATCTCTTTTTACTTCCCAGCCCAAATCAGAGGAGGAGGTGAACTCACAGAAAGCTTGGTTAGATGCTGAGAAAGTGTGGGTTGTTCACAAGGCAGGGTTTTCCGGTGGAAGAGTACAGAAGATTAAAGAGCAGAGGCAAGAAGATGAAACCCCTATGTGTAAAGTGAAGTTAGATCATGGTGGTGAAATTATTTCTATTGAAGAGGATAGTGTTGAAAAGGTTTGTTTAGTATATTTTTTTACAGTTTTCATTTGCTTTTTTTTTGGGGGTGACCTCAGCCTTTTTATCAGGCTCATTGCTACTGGAGACATGGGAGACATAGTCACATAGTTGTGTTGTGCTCCAGCTGAATTATTGTGTTGTGTTCTCGGGCTAGATGCTTTGCACCTATAGTTTCTTGCTTTATTCAGGCCTGGGTTATATTAAGGGTGGACAACCTAATTAACAGCCTCTATTCCATGAATGGTGCAGTACATTTTGTTAACACCTCTTGGTTGGGTAGTGATTTACCCACTTGATAGTTTTATCCTCCCTTTTGAACAACTGGGCCAGGGAGTCTTAATGGCTACAGGCTTACTGTTGGGGGGGTAACCTGGACTAGCATCCCATCTTTAACCCTTTAACTACCAGGTCAAATGTGTAATTCTCCTTACTGTCAACCATACAATTCTTATTATGTTAGTTCAGAGAATTTAGTATTGGATCAATCAATTATCCCCAAATTGATCTTTTTCTTTATTCTCATCACTTAGCTGGTTGATATTGTATAGATAATTTATTTTAATTAAAGAGAAATCCTGTCTTGGTCATTCATAGGAGTTTAAGTGTTAAGGTAGACACTTGCTCCAAGTTGTTGTAGCTAGAAGAATGTAGGATAAGTAGCAGTTATAAGCCTCTTTTTGGCCTAATGTAAACATAATGGCAATTACATGTATGTTGGAAGAAAGTCTACTACATAGTAGAATATTCATATTTATTTATTCACTTTAGGCAAATCCCCCTCAGTACGACAGAGCAGAAGATCTTGCTTCCCTGCGTTACTTAAATGAATCAAGCTGCCTACACACCTTACGGCAACGGTTTGGCAGTAACCTTATTCACACCTACGCTGGACCCAACTTGATAGTTGTTAACCCCCAGCAGGAGTTGGCCATTTATACTGACAAGGTACTCAAGAAGCTTTATAAATGCCCTATTGAGCTCTTAACCCTTTAATTCCCAGATTGAATTTGTAATTCTCCTTACTGTCAACCATACAATTCTTATAATACTAGTTCAGAGAATTTAGTATTGGGTCATCTAATTATCCCCTATTTGGTATTTTTCTTTATTCTCGTCACTTTTCTGGTTGATATTGTATAGATGTTTCAAGGAGAAATTCTCTCTTGGTGTAATGGGAGTTAAAGGGTTAAAAAGTAACCTTGGAAGTTCAAAATGCTGGTGTCAATACTTTGTACACAAGAAGCTGTTGTGAATCTCATGCTGGTTGAAGAAACCAGAGAGTAACCTTGAAAAGCAATGCCAGAAATATTGGATGAAAATGAAAGGGAGTTGTTCAGTTTGAAAACTTCCCCACAGATGTAAATGTTTGAAAATGATAATTTTTTTTCCATGGCTATCAGTCTTGTATGGTTAATATAAAGTAACCTCCCAGATCGTTTAATTCCCTATTTTTATCTGGTATATTTTCATACATGTAGCTATGGCAACAGCAAAGAGAACAAAATGATAGGAAAAACCTAACCTGAGTTGCTGAACATGCAGTCTGAGCACTCTTGCTAACTGTTTGTGGAATTTCAAACAGGTGATTCAGATGTTCCGTGGCTGTAAACAGGAAGACATGCCACCGCACATCTTTGCTGCTGCACAGTCAGCTTATAGAAACATGTTGGCAACAAGGATGGATCAGTCAATTGTACTAATGGGACACAGTGGCTCAGGGAAGACTGTCAATGCCAGACACATCATGCATTATTTGGCAGCTGCTGCCAGTTCTCCTCACTCTGCACTTACAGGTGAAATTAAGTTCTCTCTCTTCCTACCCATCCACCCAACTCCCAAGATCCTCAAATCAATTCTTCTTAGTCTTTGTCACACATTTTGTGTTATTGAAGGTTTGAGAATTTAGTGTTAAATCAAACTAGGTCTTTCAGTGGATAATTAATTTTTCTCTCCTCTCATCACTTTTCTGTTTGATAATGTTGTGCTTTCATAAGAAGAAATTACTTAGTGGTCCTGTTGTAAGTGAAAGGGTTAAGAGGTCATGTTAGATTAGGTCAGTGTTTATATGGTTCAACCTTGGCACCTGAAAAAATGTCTGTTTCTGACTAATGAGAGGTTTAAAAAATGATATTTTTTATAAGGATGGAACTTTACCTTGCTGTGTTTCTCTTTTAATTTTTTTGATGGAAACCATACCTCTACTGGAGGTCTCTGCAAGTAGATATTTGCCTCAGTGTGAATGTTGTGATTTTCCTATATCTTTTATTCAACATACATTTCCACTTTTTTTGTACATGTGCATATAAATTCATAATTATGTAAAAGTAGCAATGAACTCTTAAAGTGAGGATAAAACTTGCCAACAATGCAGAAATGCTTAACCTCTTAAACAACAGAAGGTAGTGTGGTCCAATTTTTGTATTATACTTTACTATATTAAACATATTATTTAATTAATGTAATCCTGATTGGACATACAATGTAGACATTGCTTAGTGTTCCTTGATGAAATGGTATTATTAATAGCTGATTGTTGGTGCCTTCTCTCCAAGGCAACAGAATGCTTCTGTTCTCACACATACACGATCTTTCTTTTGATCCCCTTCTCTAGACCAAAAGCTTGAAGCTATCTATGCTCTACTGGAGGCCTTTGGCAATGTGACCACCCCATTAAATCACAATGCATCAAGGTTCACTCTGTTGTTCAACATGGATTTTGACACAGCAGGGCTTTTGACAAGTGCTTCAGTTCAGGTCAGTGAGAAAAGGCACTGTTATTAAAGCTGCTGAAAAGTAAAACAGTGTGTTTTCCCTATGTGCGCATTATCTAGCAAAGAAGGACCAAAGTAGATTTAAAGAAGGTCCTTTGAGAAGTGCACACTACTTAGTAGTGATATTTCAATCATTCCTTGGAGTGGTCAGTGTGACATAATAGTCTGTCTACATTTGTTAGGCTCACTACCTTTTCTACATGTTCTGCCCGTGGTTAAACTTTTCTTACATCTACTTGTGTACAAATGAAAGTTAAGTTCAAAAGCAAAGGAGCAGTAGTCCAGCGCACTTGATGGATCTGCAAAAATCTTGCTCCTCCTAAGATCAACTGCAAATTGTACTATATTGTAATATATGAAAAGCTGAATGTTCATTTTCATGCACAACAGTTAACCCTTTAAACCCTAAGAGTGACTAGCATCTAATTTCTTCCAACAATATTACTCCTGAATCTCACATCAAGATCATGAGAATGAAGGAAATGATCACCAAGGAGAGAACCTTTTGATTGGCAAACAGGTTCTCCTTGTCAGCACCCCAGGAAATGTAGAAAGAACAGTGTAGAGAATATTCATACTGATGGTAGGGTGTAAAGGGTTAATGAGTAGTTCTCTCTTCTATATGTTGGATGAGTGTGGAGCAACCTTAGGAATGTCCCTTACCAAACTTTGTCACTATTGGTTGTTCCAGGCATTTCTCTTAGAGAAGTCCAAAGTTGTCAGGCAGTCAGAGGAGGAGAGCACTTTTAAAATCTTCCACTATTTGGTGTCAGGATGTGATCCAAAACTGAGGTAAACAGCATGTAATTGATGCTAAGCATATTTTGAGTGACAGAGAAAGGTTCTTTGTTTCCAACTCATTTTTACCCATAACTTTACTCAAAAAGATGGGAAAAAACAAGGGTAATATTGAATCATGAAATACTTTATACATACACAAGTTGTATCAATACCCTTAAATAGCACAGCTTCAGCCACGTGTATCAGGGGCATGGTAGGAAATGTTTTCAGAGGAAAATTTGTACTTGATAGGTGGGTACCTAGAGCCATATCTGAGCCATTTGAGAGATTAAACAGAATTTTTGAGCTGGGAAATTCATGTTGATAGCCAAGTATTTTCCCCAATTTCCAATCATTTTCAACAGTATTAAAAAAATTTATGTGATTGCTTTGAACAGAAAGGAACTACAGCTGGAAGCAAAAATGAGTGAAACGAATGAGTTTATGCAAACATTTGATCCCAAGGTAGAGTGAGACATGAGTTACTTTTATTACTCTTTCAATGCTTTTATATATGCAGAGCCTCTTGTTTGAGAGATGGCTGTCGAAATTGTCTGATCTTAATCAATAAATAGACCTTTTGAAAACCATTGTATCACAGTAGAGCATGTTGTATTTGTAAGGTGAAGCACTTGACCTCATCGCCTGACAAATACCAGCAGTTGTTATGTCATGATTAGCATTGGAAGTGACCACATCATGAGATAAACGTTAACTGTGTCGTAATTGTCGGTTTAAGAATGAATCATCGACAATCCACCTGTGCCCTGTTGCCCGATGTTTTGTAGCAGTCATAACATAATAGTGACTCTTTATCTGGTGAAGCAGATGTTTTTAAAAGTCTTGTACTTATTGAAGGCGTCTTTTTCTACAGTCATCAGATGATCAGATGCTCTCTGATAAGTGGACAGAGATTGAGTTTGCTCTGCAGATGCTGGGTATCTCTGAGGAAGAAGCAAAAGGCATTTGGGCCATCTTGGCTGCAATCTGTCATCTGGGATGCGCAGGGGTTGCAGTTGGTAAGTGCATCATTCAGTTACGTCTGGAACCTACGGATCCATTGGAAATGTTGCTCATTGTAAAACATAATTATTTATGTCAGCTGTGTTTCACCTCAGAATGTTTTGTGCACTTGTTAGAGGTTAAAGCTATATGAATTTGGGTAGGCAGCAGTTTGTGTGTTAGATCAGTTGGTCAGTTACTCAGGCAGGCAGCCAGTCAGTCAGTATGTTAGTTAGTCAGTCAGTTTGTCTGTCATTCTCTCTGTTTGTCTGACAGTCAGTCAGTCAGTCTTTCAGTTTGTCTGATAGTCAGTCAGTCTTTCAGTTTGTCCAACAGTCTGTCAGGTAGTGAGTCGATCCGTCTATCAACCAATCTGTATTCAATGGTAGTTTGCTTGTACAAACAAATAAATATTCGTGGTTACTGACTTCCTTATGGCTTTCCAAGATTTTTACTAAAACGCTCTGATTACATCTCTGCAGGTGCAGATAACAAACCCCACTTCGCCAACCCAGCAGCAGTACAAAGAGCTGCGAGTGTCCTTGGTACCACCAAGGAGGACATCACTGAGATCATCTTCGCTCCTCCAATTGTCAATCAGTTCACCGTAAGAATGCGCCGCCAAAGCCAGTCCAGAAATGATCTGAGTCCGTCCAGTTCTGCTGATAATACTCCCGAGAGGCAAGCTAGATCTACAGCGGTTCAGTACATCGAGGCGTTGGAAGGGTTTGCCATGGGACTCTACCAGGAAGCGTTTGCTGCCTTGATTAGGTTCATCAACAGGTAAAGGAAAGATAAACGAGTAAAGTGTATCTGTTGCAAATAATCCCTGAATGTAAAACAGATCTAACACTTATGTATTGAGACGAGAGTGAAGGCAGACTCTTGAAGTGTGGGGTTTTTCAGTTCAGGTTTATGCGAGGGTTGATCAGCGGAAAGAGTGGATACCTTACCAAATGGAACACAGCGGTCCAAATGTCAGGCATGCGCGAGGGGATCAATTCTGGCCTGCCGCACGCCAATTTTTCCCGCGCAAATTTTAAAGGAAAACGTAAAACGTACAAAACAGCTGCTGTCTCGCAAAGTAAGCGAAAGAAAATTGAAACGTTCATGGAAATTTGTTAAAGAAACCAAAATTAGGGAGAGGAAAAATTCGAGACTCGTCGAACACCAAGCTAATTCAAGTAGGCGCATTCTGTTTATTTACGTATCTGTTATCAAAAAAGTTACACGCTTACTGAGTTGTGTGGTTTTTTGTAACTCGTGTGAGACAACTTGGTTGTGAAACCCTGAAAGCACGTCACCTACTCAATACAACGTCCGCACATGCGCAGATGTTTGACCGCTGTGTTTCATCCAATACAGGATCAAAATGACAAACAGACTAGAACGACTCTTTAATCATCTTTCTCTGTCAGATCTCTTCAATGTAATGTTCGGACTGTGACATCAATGCACGTGCTGGACCCGCCAGGTTTCCAGAACCCGGCATCAGTCGGCAAGACCGATGGTGCTCTGTTTGATGACTTATGTCATAACTACGAGTATGAGAGGCTTCAAAAGTTCTTCCACGACACAGTGTTCAGTACTCAGATGGAACGATACTCACAGGTACTTATTTATTTTACATAACAGAATGCTTGATAAGGCGTCTCAAAACGAAAATAAAAATACTAGTAATCACAGTCATGTAGGATATGTACTGTGCAGTCTTCCGTTTTAAAAAACCCATTTGGATTCACATAACAGATGTTTACTAATCAAATTTGACTTTACAGGAAAACATAGATTGTAGTTATGAAAGTGTGGCAAGCTCTCCTGATCCTGTGGTGTCCGTCTTTGATAGAGCTGCTCAAGGAGTGGTATGTACATAATGCACATCATATTTCAGTTGCCCTATATGTAATTTAGCATTTCAGTTCTTCTCTTTTCTCGTTGTTGTTAATACAAAGGAGCCATCGAACCTCAGAAGTTTCTTTTTAGCGTCCCGTAGCGCTTGAAGAGTGTGATACTTGGAATTCGGACGCTATTTCCGCTTCTTTTTCACGTCCAACCATGCCGGCCAACGCTTAAGTGGTCAATGTTGCATTGTGGCTTTGTGTAGTTTTCTTTGCTGCCGTTGTTTAGGATTTCACGCTAGCGTTTTGTGACATGCACACGAACGGCTGCAAATTCACTTTAAACTCTTTCGCATGCAAGGTCGCTCAAGAATTTCTGTATTATGTCGGAAGATCTTTCGCAGTAGGTACATGTGTGTCAATGTCACGCTTTCTGTGTCTCTTGTGTGATTCTGATATCTGCTTTTACTAAAAATATTACTTAATGAACAGCACGCAATCTTCGTAAAATTTTTTGAGGCTCTCCTTTGCTTGTGTTTTCTTTAGACTCGAGGTTCTACCCTGGACCTAAAAAGTGAACAGAAGGGTTTGTTATGGATCTTAGACGAAGAATCAATCTTCCCGGGAGCAAATGACAGCAGTTTCTTGGCGCGGCTCTATGTGCATCACTGCAATGATAGTAAGTTTATTTTCCTCCAACCGTTCTTCAGTTCTAAAAGAATTGCCTGGGCTCTAACAGCTTGTTCTTGTTTCCTTTAGAAGACACGTGGGTCAAACAGGGGTCGCTCAAAGACACATTCTACATTAACCACTGCCAGGGTAACTTACCTGTACTCTACAATGCTCAGGGCTGGCTTAAAGTCGCCAGGGAACATGCTGCCGTCAAGCAGGCCCATCCAATCCTGGCTGAATCCTCAAAGTAAGTACTTCACCTGGTTCTCAGAATCTCCGTTTATATGCAAGCTTGAAAGTCCTGAAAGGCCAATTTACGTTATTAACGTAGTTGATAATACTAAATTACCCTGTTTTACTCTCCCATCGACGCAGCACCACGGTTTCTTTAGAAATTTACCCCCTTTATTCACTTCTCCAAAATAGCTGCTGGAAAAGAGAACTCAATGTTTTACAAAGGTACAGGAAATTTGCACGGTGCTGTTACTACCACGATCCATATGACCGGAATAGCCCTGCCAGCGTTGCAAACGTCTGAAAAAGTGATCAAAACCAAACTTCATCTCTGCGATAATTTTTAGTCTATTAACTCTTAATAAATGCTAATTCGTACTATTTGGACATTATTCTTTCTTAATTCGAGAAGTTAACTATTTTTCGGCAATTTTAGAAGGTTTTATGACATACCAGCTCGTGCTCGCTGTAGGTGCAAGCACCAGCACAATACTTTCACTCGGAAAGCTGATTTTCAACTGTGTTGTTTGACTTGTAGAACTTACTTGAATGAGATGTTTTCGCGACACCGTTCGGCTGCAGAGGGAGTGACTCGATCCCGGAGCCTGAAGAAAACTCTGAACACACCAACAGCAATTAAAAAGAACTCTCATTGTTTACAGCTCATATACCAAGTGGTGAGTGCTTTTGTCGAAATACAGCACAGCGAACTCTTAGCCAAGAAGGAATGAATGAGTGTTATCTCAAGGCTCGAAATGAGGCCATCCTCAAAGTTTAATTCATAATTCCTCTGATAGTCATTTTAGCCAAGTTCTGTCAACTGTTTCAAGCCCCCATTATCAGCGTTGCAGGACGCGCGTTTATCCGCCCGCGGGAAGATTTAAGACGAGTCGGGGAGAGGTTGGCTGGGGGTCTGGCACCTCACTATCGGTTCCAGACCCTTTACAGACCTCTACCCAACTCGCGTTGCTCAAGACCTCAAATTTTCCCGCGGGCGATGAAACCCTCGTCCCCAAGCGCTAGTAATGAAGGCCTCATCGCCAGCTACTTGTTACCTGTTAGAACCGCAGGTTCGTAATGGAGTGTCTTTCAATTGGCTTTTAAGACAAAAATCAATCAGAAAAATGGAAATACCATAAAAAGCCAATCAGAGCTCAGAATGAACACCCTCAACCGGCTTCAAGCACAGAAAACGTGAGAGCCCAAGTTGCGATTTGATATAGTTTTACCGTTGCCTTTGCTTTTGCATATTGGTTGAGAAGGTGGGGAGACAACTCTGGGCCAATTATGAACGAAGCGCTGAAGCACTATGAATTCTGTCGTGGATTGGTTTGGGCTAACGATTGAAAATTGAACTTTCTGTAAAATTCTATTATTTCTTCTCAGGACACCATTCTGGACGCCATACGAAAGACCAAAGTCAATTTTGTGCGTTGCATCCTTCCAGTGGAAATCGCAGTCCAGACTGACAGTGTTGATGGAGAGGCCGTGAGTAACAGTGCCAAAGAAGTTTCCTCGTTGCATGTACCGCTTGTCAGGAACCAGCTCAGGTCTGCGGAAATGTTAGATGCTGTCAGGATACACAGACAAGGTGGGTGGATTGTGGCATGAGATTATAAACCTGTTTCGAAAGGTCCCTGTTCTCGCCGCCTCGGTTAGTCTGTTTTAAGTAATTTACGTTGTAGGCTCGAGATGCGCGACAATTAAGCAAAATTCTATTAACCCTTTAACTCCTAGAAGTGATTAACATGTAACCTCTCCTTATTATATCCATACATTATTCAGCAAACAGGTAATGAGAATACTCTTGCTCATCAGGTACAAGATATTACCTTAATCGAACATCAAATTCTCGTAACCAATTAATTGGTAGAGGAAACTCGCCCAATCTCTCAACCCATCGAATGCAAAACTACTGTGAAATCAATGCCGACGTGGTCACTCGTGTTTTCTAGCGTTTTCTTGCGCTTTAGGCGATATGCTTGTCTCTACTTTGCGTTCTTATTGGCCTCTTGTGGTATTTCCCTTTCCTCTGATTGACTGTTGTGGTTACTTTGGTTTTGGTTAACGACAGGCAATCTAAAAGGGCTGTAAACGTGTTGTACAGAAGTTTTCCGGTCTAGCAGTTGATCATTTGGTCATTCAGTTTCTTGTTCAGGACGAAATCTTTGTAAGAGCGATTTTTCGAAAAAAGTTTTTAGTGGCCGATGTTTTTTCTCATTAGGGAAACGAGTTCTTCGTTCTTAAAGTACTTGTTAGTAGTTTTATTACAAAAGAAAAATAACAAAACAAAAAAAACGTTTACCTTTTCAAGGTTCCGCAGTTGGTTAATGACTTTTCAGCTAGTTCAAATGTGTACACATCTTTACCTTAACTTCGTTATTGGTAAGCGTAGGTTATTTAAGTAATTTTACTATTAGAGCAGCAGTTAGCAAAACCATTTCCGTTCACATGTACATCGTTCTCGAAATAGTCGCCTACGCCTTAACCACTCAAGCACGCACTTATCGAGCGGATAAACCCTTCACGTAGAGAGGAAGGGAAGGCATTTCAGGCCACATTGAAGAGGCAGGGTCGTTTGTCAGCGTTAAACGGATTCAATACCCGGTCAGTTCGCTTGTTCTATCTCAACGACCGCTAAATTGGTAAGGAATTTGGCTCAATACTTATAAAATCTACGCAGCGAGAAAAACAATCGTTAATTCATCACAGGAAATTGCCATTGTGATGCAAGTCGCTTCAAGGCTTTTCTAAATCTTCGTAAGTACCTCTACTGTTGAACTGTACCAAAAAAATGAATTATTTCAACGACACTTTTAATTTGTTCTTATAGTGACCATTATATGATTTCTTAATATGTATTAATTCACCTTTTTTAACGCGGCGGTGTCGTAATAAAGTTGGAGGTGTAAAGAGGTAATATTATGTTGATATAGCACTAAATTCACAGAACAAACATGACAGTAGGTGTCTGCAATGCAGTAGGGAGAGTTTAGATGTTAAGATTGGTAGTGAAAGTCGATCCAATTCCGCTGCGTGGTTTTAAAGAGGTTTCGTAATCCTTTATTAACACTCTTGAGACTTAATTTCGAAATTTTCTTGTGTTACCGAAAAACGGAACACAGTCTCCAACAATGCACACAACTAAATATAATTAAAGGCCATTTTGAAATGCAAATTGCGATGATCAAACAAACGAAAATGAAGTCTTCCTTTGGGCTAAGAATTGTTAGAGGGTTAGCTTGTCAGAGCGAAACCTAACCAAAAGAAATGAAGAAAAGAAAACCGATGCCTTGTTTGTTCATTTGCAGTCCCTTCTTTCTATATGGAGGTAGTGTAATATGTAAGGTCTTTTGATAAAGTTGTGTTGAAAGTTGTACTGTGTGGAGCGCAGTCAGGATTTGAGCAATCAGTAGCTAAGTCATGGTTCTTTGAAGCCGGCGGAGACAAATATTGGCGGAAAGCGAATGGATTTCGAAGTTGTTTTGACTATTTTCAATCATTTTAAGCTTGTTGCATCCTAATTGAGTATTCATAGCCATTCAACTATGACGGAAACCGCAGACATGCAGTGGCAGGGCACATTTGCAAAAGCCGGCAGGATGCCCAACCGTTGTGTCTAGAGATATTGTATTCCTTCTCTCCAACACGACACGACTCAGTTTCTGAGCAGTTTTCAATTCACCATGCCCTCCAAAACTGATGTTGTCTTTAAGGAAGCCGTTGTTTTCAAATCCAACGTTTTGAAGTTCGAATACGGTACATATTCAGCAACTGTAACACTTGCTCTTCTAAAAGTTGTTGGAAGCCGGTGACTAATTGCGGCTTGCCGCAGTTGATGTTGTATGCGATTCACAACTTGATAACTCGGTGACATTTCATTCCTATGTGACTCAAAGTCTTTTTCCTCCTCAGGTTTTCCAGAGCATATGCCATTTGGAGAGTTTAGGCGCCGTTTTGACATCCTGGCTGCGAGTCAGCACAGAAACACGGGCCCCGTTTTGGATGAAAAAAAGGTAGGTGAACTTTTGCTTTGTTCCGTGGTCGTGGCATAGTCTCTCCTACTCATACGAAGTTGTTTTCCCTTGGGGGAGAACTAGAACTCGAAGTTCATTAAAGTTTTCGATAGGCAACATAATTTTACGCTCATTTACTCTAAGTTATTTATTCAAATATTGAAACCAAGTATCTTTTGTTATGAGTGTTCATTTTTTAGACGATGACTGTGGCTATTGTTACTTATTAAATGCATTTGTTCATGACCGTGGTAGCATGGCAAAATGTCCCCTTAAAAAAAAAAAAGAATGAATCTTTGTTACTTGAGTAAAATAACTTCTACCTTGAGTGTTTCTGACGGCAAGACATATGTTGTGAAAACGCAAAAGAGGAGAGGGTATTCGGTGGCCTAAAAATAACATAATAATTTCGGTTTCCCCCTTCAGTTTTAAGTCGTTTGTTCACGCGGTGCGCTATTTAATTGCTGCTTGTTATTATGTGATTGACAGTGCCTACTACGAACGTCGGTGTTTCAGCATGACCGACAGAGCTCGCTTTATCTGATTTTCTTTGTCTTTAGGCCGTAGAAACACTGCTGGATCACCTTGAACTGGACAAAAGAAGCTATAGACTGGGATTGAGTCAGGTAAGATTAAAAGCAAAGCGTTTGTAAGGCGAGGAGATAGTTAACAAAACAGCAAAGTGACTCTTTTCCTTTTCCATACACACCCTACCAACGATTTCGCCTTAAAACACTCCAGTATCTCTCTCAACCTTCTCCACACCTTTCCCCCTTCGTTTCTTGTTACTCCTCTCTACACCTCTCTTACCACCTCTCCTTTACACATCTCTTTCTCCCCCTCCCCCCCTCCTTTCTCTGTTGTCTTTCCTTCTTATTATGCAAAAATTTTAATGGACCTAAATAGAAAACCTTGAAATCCATGTACGCTCCCAGTCTATTTATTGAGACACACTAAGTAAAAAACTCTAAAATTAAGGGTTTTAATTTATAAAGCAAGACAGGGACAGTGAGAGAAAATAACCCTGATAGATGTGACTTATAATGATCATTCTACTGAAAAAAATCCATTAAGGCACTCTTACCTCCCATTAAAAGAGCACTTGTCACTCACGTAACGCTAGCGCTGCATGGAAGCAAAGTTACCACAATTTCTAACTTTCACGTCTTTTAAAATTGTTTAGAGTCCGAACGAATTAAAAAAAAAAAAAAATACAAGAGGCTCCCTTCTGGGACCGTCAGATTTAAAATACCGAAGTCGTTACAAGTTGATATTTTTACCATAAAGCACCATATGCTGTTCATACGAGAATGGTCGCTCTGCTTGCCAGTTTATGATATTGTAATAACAGGATGACATCCCAGAGAGTGTTATTCTTTTTTCCTGACACTAATCCCGTCTTTGTATGATCCTTTTGTTGTTTACAATACGTCAAGTTCAGAAATGATTAAGCTGTATTTCTTTGAGTTTTGGAGCTTTTGCCGACCGCGAGGTCATAGTAAACGCGTATGTCGACGATCGTGTTGTGCTCGGCAGTTCGTACCGTTTTCGACCCCGTGCTGATTTGAACAAGTGCTCTGAATATTTGGCAACTAAGCCAGCGTCTTAGCTAAAGGTGTGTGATGGTTTTTGATTGTTTGCGTACCGTTCAATTTGTAGACATAATTAAGTTGCTTGATCGCAATTTCGAGCCCTATTTACTTAAATTTTTATTTGTCTCGGTTATGATATTCCTCTCCTTTTGTACCAATTTTAAACGACGCGAGCGATTTTGTCTTCTCTTTTAGCCTCTGTAAGTCTTTCGAGATGTGTTTCGTGATGTTTTTGCCTCTAAGAGATCAAGCGATAGTTTCATTTCTGTTTTAAATGCTTAGAAACGATGCACTAAACATTTCATGAATAGATTGATGGAAGATGTATATTCACGTTAGTGTCAGTCTTTTCCTTATGCGATAAACTTGGCCTTTACGAGGCGACTGATTAAAGGGGTCAGCTATAGAGTCACTGTTATCTTTTTACCGACGATTACTTTTCAATAACTCCATAATATTTCTGCACATAAATAAGTCAACACAATTGTTTTATTTGACTTGAGGTTTTCACTTTGCGTTAACTTCTGTACAAATGGTAATATTTTATACCTTGCTTCTGATTGACACGAAAGATTATTGTATTTAGTATATCGCAAATCCTTCGTCTCGACGCAGATTAAATTAGCATGCATACCAATGTAGGTTATTATCTCACTTACATCTTTTTGTTTTTGAAAAGATTGTTTTTCAAAGCTCTTTTGGAATTCACTAGTGAAAGTTACCTGGGTTTTGATTAGTTAGTGGCAAGTAAGAGTATTGTGTTCGTCTTCAAAACTGTGTGTACCTCATTGGAATGCCGCGACCGACCTATATGTTGATAAATCAAAAGTTCAGATAGTCGGGATTAGCAGTTGAAGAGCCTGTTTGTTATGGTGGACTTTGATTTTATGAGGTCATTTTAAAAGGAAAAAAAATCCAGGCGAAGGTTGTGTTTCAAGTGAAAATCCGAGCAGATGATACAGCGAAAAAACTGTTAAGTCAGAAAGAAAATTTGTTTTTCTCAAATACGCCAAACCACTGAAACAAGAAGGGGTAAAACTGTTCCTTTGACAGATACTCTTTTCTGATCCTATCTTATTTGTACAAGCCACCTAGTTACGTAACTACTTCGCTGATACTTATCAGTCATATTAATCCAAGGCACAGGTTAATCCGACTTGGATTAAGTTTCCGCAGTTTTTCCCGTATGTCAGGGTTTTTTTTTTCCGGAAGTATTTGGCACCAGTAGTCTGTCCTGCTACACTTGGTATTTCTGGCACGTTTTCCCCCTCTAGGACACCGTGATATTGTTTCCCTGTGCTTGACTTAGCCACATGCCCAGTTTGGATGTCATTTGATTATTTTTCCCGCGCATGACGTGAGTTTTGCCTTATTTGGACATCACTTGATTGTTTTCCCGCGCCTGGCGTGGCGTTTTGACCCTTCTGCACACTTTTTGATTGTTTTCCCGTGCTTGACCTAAGATTTTACCCTAATGGACTAACATTTTTCTGCTTACCCAAGCAGTTACTATGTTGCCACCTAAACTAGGAGCTAAGTCGCTGGTTTGTGCCTCTTATAAGCTTTTTCTTCCGAAATTTTTCAGTTCGTCACTAGCGATCTGTCTTGATATTCTCCATCTTTAGCTGGTCTTGTTCCTTGTTAAGGCAGTTTAGCATAACACCAAAAAAGATAATCAAATAATTATGAATGAGCTCTTTAAAAGACAGTTTCCTCAACTGTTTTCGCCTTTTACTTTTTATGGCATTTAGTTACCCTATGGAAATCAAACGCAATGTTTTTATTTTTGAATATTTCCGAATCGTATTTAAATGAAGATCCTCAATTGTTCCAATGCCTAATATTGTTTTCCAGATCTTCTTCCGTGCCGGCACTCTTGCTCAGTTAGAAGACGCTCGGGACGAGAAGACCACTGATACCATAGTTGAACTGCAGGCTTTCTGTCGTGGATTCTTAGCGAGGAAGAACTACAGTAAATTACAGGTATGCATGCTTTTCTTTTTGGTCATAGCTTTAAACTAGACGCTTTTGACGTCTCAAGTACCTGATAGACATCACTTCTTCATCGTTACTCTACTGTTACCGGAAATTTCTCGTTTTTCGTCTGATGGGATGTCCCCTTTGAAAAAGAAAATAACAAAAAAAAAGGTTTTTCTTTTTAAATGAGATGCGACCCGAAGGAACTTTATTACTGTTCTTCGCTACTTCTTTGGCTTTTGCGTCTTCTTAATTGATAAAGGTGAAATGTTTAACCAGGCTTGTCGTGGTTGTTTTTTGTTTTTATTCAGGTTTTCTTTAATCCACGATTAGTTTTGATTTGAGATTTTCAAATTTTACCCAACCAAATGAAGAAAATGTTGATGCCCGTCGAACTTTTGAAAACCGTATCTTGTGGTTTGTTTGGCCTTAGGTTCAGTGCACAGCTATCCGTTGTATTCAGAAGAATATTAGACTTTTCTTGGCAGTCAACAATTGGCCTTGGTGGAGATTATATACAAAGGTAATAGTGAAGTGAAGTTCTTTAGAAAGTCTATCAAGAGATGGAAGTGGATAATAAGCATAGCGAGGTAAAGGGAACCTGTCCATATGCTGAGGTAAACCTCAATGCTAGAATGGACTGATTCGGGACAATTGTCTTCTTATGACATGACGAATGTCTTTGGAAATATTTATCGCTGAGACTATAAACAGCTCCATTTCATTCCCGGAAAAAAATTTTCCACACGAGTTAAAACCAATTTGTCTAAGGGTGTGAGAGTTGTCAGCTGCTAGGGTTAGGGAAGTTTTAACTTATGTTTCTCAGTGAATCGTTCTGTGTTAGAATAAGCCGAGAATTTTGTCCTTAATCAGAGCATTAATCCATATTTTTCACTGATTTTGTGTAGGTCCTCCCATTGTTAAATGTTCATCGAACCGAAGAAGAACTAAAGAGCAAATCGGTGAGTATCCTGGTTTCCTCATGACGATCACAATTATGAACAGTTACTCATGTTGCAATGTATATCAGTGATATTAGGAGCGAGGTGGTAGAGATAGCCAAATCGAGGAGAATCCCGGTTTCTTTAATAGCAGGTTCTCTCGTTGAGTACATTTGTTTGCACGAAAAAAGGAGAGGTTTATGTCTAGCTAACTTTAAACTTTTGAAAACAAGACTTCGTGATTCGGTTTCCTCCACTCGTAACAGGGGTCATTTTATTTCCCGCGCTTAGCGCGAGTTGCACAATTTTCACGCGCAGGGAGAAATTTGTATATTTCACTCTGAAGTTGCCATTGGCCAGTTGCACCATGTGTGATTGGCCGGTCAGGGTCTCTCTGGTGTTGGTCTGTGCATAATATCATATAAAACGCGTTTATACCGCGTCTTGCTTGGTTGGCCTCACGTAAGAGAAATGAAATTCCTAACTATGCCGTCCTCATTCTTTCTACAGGGAGAGGTCGACATTTTGAAATCAAGATTAGCAAAACTTGAAAGGGAAAAGAAGGAATTAGAGGAAGCAAACGAGAAGCTACAGCAAAAGGTACCAAAACATATTGCATGGAGACATACAGTAACATTTCCGCAAAATTACTAATCAACAGGCTGGCTTTCATTGCCTTACGTTTGGATGAATATATCTTTTTTTTTCAAACACGAATTTCCCCCGTATGTTTGGAGGCCGCGTAATGAAAATTTACGTTGATGGTCAAACTTATCTTCGACTTTAATCCAAAATGGATGGTATACTAAGAACGAAAAAAAGGAAGCGTTTGCCGCACAAAAAAATTGGCTTAGAAATTACGAATATTGTGAAAAAAAAGTTTTGATAAAAGAATTATTTTGCGTTAATCTTTTAAATCCATTATGTTATTCGTAATCTGCTCCTCTCTTTTTTATCTTTTTGTGTCCTCGTTTATGTTTGGTTGGTTGTTATCCTGAACACATTCCCTCTATTTTTGATTATAATGAAGAAATGTTTTCTCGATTTGACGAAATTTGGTTCATCGCAATTATTCACTCTGACAATGCTCTTTGTAGGCAAGCTTTGTCAAAGTTTTATCTTGGTTTGAAATTAATTGAGATTTATCTTTTAATTAATGATAATCCCTAGATCATTAAAATATAGTTCTTCTCTAAAAATGTCGTTTAATGTCAAACGGATCAGCTAAGAGAACAACGTGATTAGCAAGTAATGGTCACTTTCGTGATTAACCTCTTAATTCTCATAGCAAACGTTTCAAGGAATGTAGAGCGATTAGTAAAGAGAGTTGATATTCTCATCTTCGTCGAACTCTTGTATTTTTATCTCAAAGATCCTCAAATGGCCCTTTTTGACCTCAAGGAATGTACATGTGTTATGTTTCTTGTCCGAGGTTCTGGTTAATTAATCGTATATACATTAAGTCCCTGCATCGAATTCCTTTGATACCCCATGTGGTGAGTTAAATTACCCTGTGATGCATAAATCACTTTCGTTCAGGCTAAATCGTCACTGCCAGGTCAAATTTACTGCATTCGATTTTAGGAGATGTTCCTGAAGACTTAGATTAATTGCCAGAATTATGAGGGTCTGTGTATTAACTTTCGTATTGAAATAATTTCTCTGTGATATGCATTTGACGTCGTTCAATATTTCTTTCAGGTAACTGAATTATCCGCTTCTTTGTCCGAGGAAAGAGAAACCGCCAGTCATGCCAGTGAAATGCTTGAAGGCGAAACAATGGAGAGAATGAGATTGGAACGTCAAATGCAGGAACTCCAGGTTTGTAGGATGATTAACGATTCCAGTGGTGTAGAATTGCTCTCTAAGGGACCGTCGCGTTCATTCTGTCACAATAAACAATCGGGTGCGTTCGGCCAATCGATCGTAAATGACTCATAGTAATGTCTCAGGTTTGTGACTTAAAGAAGATATCGATTTCCGCGATTTACTTCACGCACTCTAGACGGTAACAAGGTAATGATATTTTGTAGAAATAAAGTTCCAAATGAGGCATATAGAACTCGTATGGAATTTTGCTTTCGTGAGTCCAGTCGTTTGAATTTTTTTTCTGGTGTAAGATTCTCTTTGCCAATAATTTGATAAGATCAGAAATACATACTCTAATTATGAGGGCTTCTGTTGATGAAAGAGGGCAATATTAAGATACGTATGTGTGACAAAAAGCAGGATCTCAGCAGTGGACACAAAAACTCGTATCGAATTTTGCTTTCGTCGGTCCTTCCAATTTAATTTTTTTCTGGTGTAAGATTCTCTTTGCCAATGATATAATAAGATCAGAAATACATACTCTAATTATGGGGACCTCTGTTGATGAAAGAGGGCAATATTTAGATACGTTTGTGTGATAAACAAGCAGGATCTTGGCAGTGGAAAGACGTCCGTGAGATATGATATCGTATCTATCAGTTTCAGTGATGTCAACTACGTGCGACTTTATATGTTGCCAAGCAGTCTCGTGTTTGTCGTTTCAGTTGTGATCTAATTGACCTGTTCGCTGTTAACTCTTGTGATATGACGCCGCCATCGCTTTCTTGTGCGAAAACTAATTAAGTTGAGTACGCCATCTGAAAAAGCCTTTGCAATCACTTCTATCAAACAGGACCACAGTTAGTCGAGATTTAACGCTTGCTTCGAAAACAGGAGGAAGTCTTTATTAGTTCAAAGCAGTGGCGTGACTTCTCTTAGACAATCGCGTGACTTGTCTCGTGACTTATGTTTCTTGAACGTTCGCTCCTGTCTGGAGCCTGGTTACATAAGAAGATTAAGATAAACTAGGTGAACTTCCGGTTTCTCTCAGCCTAGAAGTATATCTGTTCTAAAAACTTTGTTCTGATCGCACAATAAATCGCCAGTTTCTTTTGATTTCATTTATTTTCGTTGATAGAAAGCTTCAGCAGCAGTTACATTCACTTTACACTGTCAAGAACGGTTTTGTTTTCATTCTTTCTTATATAAAAAATATTTGCTATCTAAACCGTCAAGATTTCCGGATTTCGTGTGGATCTGCGGGATAAATCCATTCAGGCCTTAAATCTGGCCGTGAGAACTCTGGTTTGAAATAACATTTAGAGACAGGCTTCACTGTTAAGTGCATAATGAAATATTATTTATTCAAGGAAATTTTTCGGTTTCTCCAGCGCATTGAGGAGCGTGTAGATTGCTGAGCAAGTGAACGTAGTGTGTTAGATTGATCGTTAAAACTCTACAATCAGCTGGTCACTCGAGATTTAAACAGCTGAAAGCTGAAGGAATTCAATCTGCTTTTCCGGTGAAGTACTTCTCTTCCCTTAAGTCGTGGATCACTTTGGAAAATAAGCTGCAGTCTCTAAGACATGATTACGGCTGAGACGTATCCACAGGTGAATCACTCTTTTTCGTTTCAATAATTCAGTGTTTAATTGCTGGGAAATTAATCAAATTATTTTCATCGCTTAACAACGCCTTTCGAGTGACCATTTCCGTCTCAAACACTGTCGATAGAATATGTGAAAGCACTTTGCTATCTCTTCTTTGAGGCTTACCATTCGAGCGCCTCATGTAATGTTGTCCCTTATTTTAAGCACGAAAGGTTAACGAAATTTTCAAACCGGTAGAGCAATCCTTTTACCAGTTGAGTTTGTAAGAATTCAAACCGATTTTAGGCGGTAGAAGGAGTTTTTACTGGCCGTAAATGTTACTGGTTACTGCCTGAAAGGAGAAGAATACCTGTCTAAACCTTAGCATTAAGGTAAGAAAGAGTTTACAAAGCTGTTTTGAGAGTACAACTATGCCTGAATTTATAGGTGGAAGTATCGCACCCCAAATGATAATAAATGGTTCAACCTGGGAAGAGTCAGCTTGAGAAGACTCCGTAACAAGCGGCTTCTTTTTAATTGGAAACGTAATCTTAATATTGTTACGTAATCTTGTGGTGTTTTTTTTTTTTTTTTTGGAATTTTTTTTTTTTGCGGTTAGATTTTTTTTTAATTGTGAGACTTCTGATGAAGTATATTTGATGAAAGTATCTTAAACTCCTATTCCTTTGCCATCGTGTCCTGCTTGATTCCATTGTGTCCATTGTGTGCTATTTTGTCCTGCTTGAATCCATGTATTATTAAGTAACTGAGACTGTAGGTGAAAAGATGGCAGAATTATAGCGACATGTTAGGTTCGTTTTGGTTAGAATGTTGGTGTGATCATAGAACTAGATGGATTGTATTACTGAAAGAGTGCAAAAAGAGGATTGTGGGAAGGCGATGATAGCTCAAATCGAACATTTTATTTCAAATTGCTAGCTATTTTCTTTGATTGTTTTTATTGTGATTGTAAACACCATCATCACTTGGTTAACGTGTTAAATAGCGTAAAAATATTTAGAGAGCTGAAACTTCTTCAGTTGCGTGGGAAGATTTCGTGGTATCGAAGTTGTACTGAATTTTCATCGGTTTTTTTCCGCATACAAGCAAATTCTCCCAAGCAGTACAGTAAGGAGACTTAACCAGAATTTGTATGCTAAGATCAGAACATTGTGGTTTTACAGGAGTCCTTGGAGGACGTCAAGAAGAGGAAAGACAAACTTGAAGTTGAACTTCTTGAAGCAAGAGCTTTGAGTGTCACCGCCACAAGGAATGTCGAGAGATTGGAGAGGTACGAAGGCGAAGGAGCTTCTGAAGATGAAGAAGAAGGTGAGACAAGCTTAGATTGCTTTTTGAAATGCTACCCAGAAGAAAAATTAATAATGTAATGCTAGATATTAACCCTTGACTCCTAGAAGGCCAGAAGTCATTGACAAGCAATTTCTCCGTACGATATCAATATATTCAGGGCGTGAAATTAACTTTTTTTTCTGATAGCCACTTGGCTCCTAAATTCTTCAAAGTGGTAGCCAATTCAAAAAAAGTTGGTCGCCATTTTCAAAGACAAACAAAATCTTTCTTTACGCTGTCAGCGTTCTAGATAGACCCTCCAAAATTAACGTGCTACAAAGTGGACACTAGGATGGATGATATACAACGTTCAGGCTCATCTAAATCCAAGATGGCGTCTAGTTATCGATAGAGACGCATGTGCTACATTTTGGAAACAAACTTAACGAGGAAGTTTGCCGCGGATTTATCTTTGCAAATCTTTTTAATTCACTATATCTCTTGGTAAGATTATGATGAAACGTTCTAGTCGCCAATTTGGCGACTAACTTTCAGGATTTGGTCGCCAAAGTGAAAAATTTAGGCGCATTGGCGCCTGTATTAGGCGCAATTTCACGCCTAATAAATGTTTGCAAACTAATATAATATTAGTTTGCAAACAGGTGATAAGAATATCAATTTCATTAGCTAGAATGAGTTATTTCTGAAGTTCTCCTTACCAATTTGCAAGGAGTTGCATAGTAGTTAGTAAAGAGAGTTACCAATCAGATCTGGCACCTTTGAGTTCTCCGGTAAACTTCGTTTTGAAACACTGTGGTTTTAACCGTCGGCTCTGTTCTGTTCTCAATACAGAGTCGTTTTATCGTGAGAGGTACATCCAGGCCTCCAAGGAACATGAGCAACTAAGAAAAAAATTACAAAGTCAGGCCGAGCAAGAGATAGAACAGCTCACCAATCAGAAGCGATTACTGGAAAGGAAGGTAAAGACGATACAGGAGAGGTTTTGTTTCGTCGCACACTTGCCGTTCGCTTGACTTGAACGTTCCTTGACGGCTCATCTATCTCGGTGCAATTGGCCTGTTCTAGGCGTTCAGGTGCGAAATGATAAACGGCGCGGAGGAGAGAAAAAGCGGGAAAGGTTAGGGACGGGTCGCGTAAAGACTAGGCTCGATTGTCAGCCGCTGTTCGGGAATATGAGCCCGCGCTCCTCCCCTCAAACCCTTCTCTGGAAGTAGCGAAGACTGCATGCGAGAGAGCGGCAGAAATCGAGCCTACGTAAAGACCAAACCTTCCTCGTTGTTTCACGTCACTTCTTTCGCGCAGTTTGCAGTTTCGCTCCGTTTTATAACCAAACGCCTGGAACAAGCTTCGGTGCGATCAACAGTTACACTACGTATGGTGTGTTAACGTTATTCCCTGATGCGATAGCTGGCTAGAATCAGATATCAACGTTTCCTATAAAACAAGTTGCTGATTTAACACTGATACAGTATTTAAAATTCTGCTACGTTAGTCACAGTGGTTGGGGACTCTAAGCTTGTAAATTGCTGATTTAACTTGGTTTATGTGCGATTGGTTCTGATTTAGTTGACTGAGGAGAAAGCTGAAAATGAAGAGATACAGCGCCAATCGTTAAATTTGAGGAAAAAGACATCTCGAGTCCAGTCAGAAATGGAAGATTTGAAACTTCTGTTGGAGGAAGAACAAACTAGAAATGCCGAATTGGAGAAAAAGCAACGAAGGTATGGGACTCAGGCTTAAAAAGCAAAAAGAGCAACAGACACTAAGGAAAAACTTCATTGATTAGATTGTTAGTTAAACAAGCAAGTCTGCTTAGTCAGTTTGTAATGTGGTGATTATAGAATTAAAAGGTATCAGGACGTTTCACTCACAGCAAATTCTTCCACTGCCACCTTTGCGAGTTCGCCCCTTGAACTGTACCTGTTCGGTTTTTTAGGTTTCGTCCTGCTGCAAGTTCCTTCCCCTATCACCTTTGCGAGTTTCGGCCCCACCTTTATCAGTTCGCCATTACTTTTTTGACTCGTTACCTTGCCATAAAGGCATCGTTATAGCTGGGGCGAAGCAACCAGTTTACAACTTAAGTGGAAAGAAAAATGACTTATTTTTAATACTTTAATTTTTTAGGTTCGACACGGACAGTCAGCGATTCAAAGAAGAGCTGAACCACGAAAGAACATTGAAAGAGAAAATCAGTCGCGAAAAGGATAAGGCTGTCACAGAAAAATTCCAATTAGAACATGAATTGTCGGTATGTTGGTTGTGTGATGTCTTTACCTAGAGATAAATTTCCTCCGCCTTTGGTTTGCTTTCTTCAAGCGGTAAATAGACTTTCTAACCGTCAGACTTAGCAATTTCCATTTTTTCCTTTTTATCATCGAGTTTCAGGTCCTTATTGTACGTTATGGAACTATTTTTCCAGCTACCTTTTATGACTAACGAGAGCCAGCTAAGGGCATTTGGGAATAAAGAATGTATGATGGCAACTATAACAGCTCAATTTCGGCTAGGTTTGCAGAAGAGTCTGGCACCCTAAATTGACCAATCAAAACACACGTTGATATTGAGAAGTGCAATAATTAATAATTGTTCACCGTAGTGGAGGCGAATAGTGGTGGATATTTCACTGAGCCGCAAAGCGACGAGGTAAATATCCACCACTTTCACTGACACTGAGGTGAATAGTTATTTCAGTATATACGACACAGATACTAAAAAAACTAGTTTACCTCTTTCAATATACCAAAAAATTGGCAGAAATTAAACTCTTGACGCGCGATATTCGTCTCATGGGCTGCACGGTGGTGAATAGTACTTGCTATTCACTATCGAAATAGCCAATGAACGCGCGTGAAAAGCACTATTCACGTGTGTGGTATATACTAACTATAGATACTGATCTTTATCTAACGGTATTTACAGGAAACTCGCGAAGAACTGGAGAAGGCCAAAAAAGAGCTGACACAAATTGAGGGCGATATGGATGATATCACTAAACAAAAAGGAGGAGACGTGAGTTGTATACCAAGTCCTTTCTATTTATGTATTATTTATTTAATTATTGTCTTGGTGTCTTTTTTTACGAGATATGTAGCGGTCTAGCTCTTCGTTGTGCTGTCGATTAACTCGCGAATAAGTAAAGCATCTCGGTCTCTCCAACTAACCAACTTAAACATGCAAAGTCACTTTCGATGTTTTGATGATCACTTGAAACTTTCGATCGTTTTGTTCGTCCTGTTCCGGTTTTGTTCGACTTCATTTCTAACTCCACGGCCGACTATCCGCGTAGCCACAGCTTACACGCTCTTTGTCGCTGCTTGGTCTTTTCCAGGCTGTTGCATTGAAGAAAAACATCAGAGAACTGGAGGAGAAAGTTCAAGATCAAGAAGAGGAACTTGACGATCAGGCTGGAAAGATCCAAATGCTTGAACAGGTATCAGTAGTTTGCTCGGCTAGTCAATGGTTTCAAATAGTATGCATGCGTCAAGAAAAATCAAGTTACAAGTTATAGTATGCCTGGGGAAATTTTTTCTTTCTCTGTTATTCTGGAAATTAATGGGAAAATCTGAGGTGGGAAATTTGGGGGTGCAGGAAACTTCAGGCGGGACGCTGAGCTCTAACTTTTGGCGGAAAACAGTTAGAAGGTGGGATGGGAGCAGAAAACTTAAGGCGAAATAAATCTGAAAACCTAGACGCATGCAGTGAATTATGGCGGGAAAAAAACTGTCAGACAGACGCGGTTTATAATTTTTTATCGGATCTTCCCTCCCCCCCTTCCGCAAAATAAAATTTTCGGGGGGGGAGGAGGAATTCTTGTGGTTTCTCAATAAACATGGAGGAAGGAGCTTACCGTTCTTTCGTCATTTTTTAAATTATTTTTTAAGGCCAAACTTCGTTTAGAAATGGCTGCGGAGCATGACAAGCATATGGTACATAAGGATTTAGAAGCGAAAGACGAAGAAATGGAACAGCTTAGATTTAACATGCAGAAAAAGGTAAAACGCTATATAAAATAGCATTATGATGTGGCTTGTACTGTACTTTGGTACTTTGTGTAGAAAATCTCTTCCGTTCTCCTAAATTTCAAGTTACAATTTTTCTCTTCCTCTTCCCCCTTCGTATTCTTTTTGTATTCACGCGCGACGCGCGTGATTCAACAAATTAGCCAATCACGTCAAAGAACTCTAACCTTGACCTTGGAAAACTGACGTGGACATTTTCGCTTAGTTTTATTTTGTTTTCGTGGAGTTTTAGTTCGTTGTTTTTGAGCTTTCGTTCGTGTAAATTTGTTACTCCTTTGTTTGAAAGTTAGAGAAGTTTCGGAGTTTTTATGTAGCCATATGTGGAGGTTCATTTAACAAGTTTAATACATATTTTCTTCGGAGTTTGGAATGTAGTCTCTTTTTTCGTAAATGGATTATTTACATGGTGCCGATACTCGGGAATGTCGACTCACAGAAGAATTCACTCTCTCTGGAAAAATGGCTGATGAAGAACTGAAAAAAAAGAGAAAGATCCGAGGAGGACATAAAGGATACGTTACGACGACTTTGGAAAAGGTAAAAGCCTTACTCGATGAATTTGAACCTCCTCTGGCGAATCAATTGAGAACTTATCGGATTGTTCTTACGGAAAAACTCAATGTTCTTGGAGCCCTGGACGACGAAATTCTGGCTTTAATAACAGAAGAGCATATCGAAGATGAAATCAAGGGAACTGGAAACTTCAGAGAATCTATTCATCAAATGATGGTGGAAATTGACGAAACTCTCAACGCAGTTGAACTGGAAAAGGCCGGAAATACAGATAAGTTAATTCCTCTCTCTAATTCTAATTCGTTGAAATTCCATGGAGATCCCATTTCCTTCAATCCATTCTTGGACTCATTTACAAGTGCAGTCGATGACAACTCTGGTTTATCAGATGTCGACAAATTCAATTATTTGAGAAATTTGTTCGAAGGGCCAGCCGCAGGAGCCATTCGAGGGCTACCACTCACAGCAGAAAATTACGAGTCAGCTAAAGCCATTCTAAAGAAACGATTTGGGCAACCTCAAGTAATTGTTAATGCTTACATGGAGGGAGTAGTGAAAGTATCAGCTGTAAGCGCGGACAATGTTTGAGACGTCTACGCCTTCTTTGTGGTCGAGTTGAAGCACACGTTCGAGCTTTACAAGCCCTGGGAATAAACTCTGAATCGTATGGGAAGCTTTTGATTCCCCTTTTCATGGAAAAATTACCTCTGAATATGCGCTTGATAATTTCAAGGGCCGTGGATCAACCAAAATGGGACTTGGCTGTTTTACTTAACGCCTTCGACAATGAAATTGCGAGAGAGCGATGCGAGCCGATTGGAACAAACCCGACCAATCTTCCTACCTCTAAGAAGCCTTTCTCAATGCCGTCAAGAAAAGGTAAAGAGTTTTCGTACGCTTCAGCACTTATTAATCAGTCTGAGGAATCTGTAACCTGTACCTTCTGTAAGCGAGGGCACCCCAGCGCGAGTTGTGGTGTTGTCACTCATATCGAAGCCGGAAGAAACCTGTTGAAACGAGAGGGCCGCTGCTTTATTTGTTTACGTCGCAACCATTTGGCAAGGAAGACCGCATTTGCTCAGAAAGACATCACATGCAAATTTTCGTGAAAGCCAAAGCAGTCGTGTCATCTCAGAAAATGCTGCTCAAGGAAGTAATGTAACGACTAATGAAGCAAATCGCCGAGAAAACAAGTCCTCTACGACGGTATACGTAGACTCAAATATGTCAATTTTGCTGCATACGGCCAACGCCTCTGTGTCACGGATCGATGAGCCTCATTCTGCTGTAACTATACGCATTCTACTTGACAGTGGCAGCCAGCGGAGCTACATTTCCGAACGAGCGAAAGAAAAATTGGGTCTGTTCCCGAAGAGAAAAGAGAAGCTGCTAATCAAATTGTTAGGACAAGAAAACGTAGACTTAAAGAGAGTGTGGCATTGTCGAATTCTGTGTCAGAGGATTGAGTCAAAGTTCAGGCGTTCAGATGACTGCTCATATCGTCCCTCCTATCTGCAGTCCTTTGGTGAATCAAGCCGTACAGTTTGCTCAACAATCATACAGTCATCTGGTAGACTTGAAACTCGCAGATCAACCATCCGACGACTTTGGTTCAGAAGTAGATGTCTTAATTGGCAACGATTTCTATCGGTCTTTCTTCTCTGGAAACAAGGAACGGGGGGAATCAGGACCTGTGGCGATGAAGACGAGTCTTGGGTGGGTGTTACCTGGTCCTTTACTCCAAACACCAGGTTCAGATACTGATGTTTATTTGGTCACAAGCCATACCTTGCGGCTAGACACCTCCTCATGTAGCGACACTATTATCGAAAAGAGAATTTACGACCCGCTGCTGGAACAAGTGAAAAAATTCTGGGAGTTAGAAGCTATCGGTTTGTCAACACAAGAAGAGACAGTGCATGAGAAGTTCTTGGATACTATTCATCTCAACAACGGCCGCTATGAAGTCTCTCTTCCTTGGAAAGAACAACACGCATTACTTCTGGATAACCATGCCCAAGCCGTTTCTCGCCTGCCTTCTGTTCTAAAACATCTAAGAAAGAATCCTGGACTGTTTGAAGAGTACAACCGCATCATTGAAGAGCAATCTTCGCGAGGAATAATCTCCGATGTCGATCCCGACATACCAGTCGAACTTGGTCACGTTCATTATTTACCGCATCATCTAGTTGTGCGCGAAGATGTCCAACTCCTCACTTGAAGGCAGCGTTATTTGTCTATACTGCTTGGTCAATGTTGGAACCGTTGGAAACGTGAGTACGTGGTGGATCTAAGGGAGCACCACAGGCCTGCTAATGAAGGTGCCGGCGTTGCACAATCAGTTGCACCAGGTGATATTTTCACCGTAATGGAAGAAGGGAAGTCAAATCGTAGTACTTGGAAACTCGGAAGGATTGCGGAGGTGCATCCTGGAAACGATGGTTTCGTTCGAGGAGCCACTGTGAAAGTTGCTTCGGGCAGTTGCAAACGAAAACGCCTGAGACGACCCTAAAAAAATTTTTTTCCGCTAGAAGTTCGAGAACTAGGGGGTTCGTAACAAGTTCCAGCAAGACTGGAGGCAAACACTTTGCAATGGCAGAGGAGGAGTTAGAAGACGAGAAGTCGATCAGTTTCTTCAAGGACAAGAGGACTCCTTTTAAAGGAAAACTGATCGAGGGGGGGGAAGATGTAGAAAATCTCTATCGTTTTTCTAAATTTCTAGTTATAATTTTTCTCTTCCTCTCCCCCCTTCGTGCCTTTTTGTATTCACGCGCGGCGAGCGTGATTCCACAAATTAGCCACTCGCATCAAAGAACTCTAACCTTGATATTGGAAAACTGACGTGGACATTTTTCGCGTAGTTTTAGTTTGTTTTCGCGGAGTTTTAGTTGTTTTTGAGCTTTCGTTTGCGTAAATTTGTTACTCTTTCTTTGGAATTTAAAGAAGTTTCGGAGTTTTTATTTTAGCCAAATTTTGAGGTTCATTCAATAAGTTTAATACATATTTTCTACGGAGTTTGGACTCTAGTCTCTTTTTTCGTAAATGGATTTTTTTTACACTTTGTGTTCTTTTGCAGTACTCTGACTAAACAATGTTGAAGCTTTTTATCCGTTACTTATCTTAACCCTATAACCCTTAAGAGTGACTAGCATCTAACTTCTCCATACAATATCACCCTTGAATCAAACAATAAGGTCATGAGAATAAAGGAAATGATCAACAGGTACAGGAGCTCTTGATTGTTAAGTGACAAATTCTCCCTATCAGCACCTCTGGAAATGTATAGAGAACTGTATGGAGAATATGCATACTGATGTTAGGGTGTAAAGGGTAAAGTGCAAGGTAACGAGTGAATAGCAGCTAGGTTGGGTGATGTTTTCATTTGGCTGACCTGGTGTTAGTGAGCTGACTCGACGGAGTTCATCCTCATCAAATCCCCACTCCTCTCTTCTTTATGTTAATTCAGACCTTCAGCTTGCATTCGACAACTTACTACTGTTTTGTCTTGCGTGGTATCAGATTTCAACCCCACCCCTGAAAAAAATCTGTCTTTTGAAATTCACAGGTCAAGCAACTCGAGGATCAACTGGAAGATGAATACCAAGAAAAAACGGCCGCTGTTAAGGTAAGCCGCTCTCGCCATTAGTTGCCTGAATGACCGTTTTTGAAACTTTCGCTTCTTAAGAATTGTAGCTCTTCATTTAGCTCTTTATTTAACAAGTACCAGCCTTCTTACTTATGCTTTTTAGGTAATCCTCCACCTGGAGGTAGTTTTGAAGGCTATGTGTCAACCTTCATAAACCTACTGATTCCTTTTCAGGCCAAACGAGAAGCCGATAGACGCCTTGAAGAACTCCGCGATCGCTACGAACAAGGCAATGCGGAAACGGAGAGAAAACTGAGACGAGAACTGAAGAAGACGAAAGCTCTTCTGCGTGACGCTCAACAAGTGATTGATTCTCAGGTTTGTAATCACCCGCCACTTCCCTTGCCCATGTCCTTTGCCCTTCCTCTTCCTCTTTTAGGGAATCTCGTGCAATTTTTTATTCGATAAATGTTAGTTTTCTTCTTTAAACTTTCATAGCATTCACGGTGCCAGTGGTGCTGTGTCCTACTGACTTTCGCTTTGTTTTTCTTTTTAGTCTCAGAAACTTCCGAAAGAAAGAAATCAGATGAAAGCTCTGAAAAACCAGGTGATTTTTAAAAAAATTTTTTTTTTTAGATTTAGCATGGTTTTCCCTCGAGGGATGAGTTACCTCAGAAGTAATAGTGACTCCGATAGCAAAGAATCCACCCCAAAAACAGCTGGGAGACAAAGCTATTATGTTGGTTTTCCTCAACTTCGTTTTCCCGAAGCTTGCGTGCTTGATTTGTTTGAAATGGGAACTTTGATCCCTTTACTCTCTAGATTTCCACGGCGACACTCTCCTCTGGACACTATCGCGAAATTTGTTGAAATGGAACATGTTTTTCATCAAAATAACACTCTGCAGCTGAAGAGTCTGTCTTCTTTATCGCCAGTTTGACAATTTTAGAAGTTACGTGTTTATCTGTTGTGGATTTCAACCCTTTTCACTCTGACATCAGCATCTACATTCTCCATACTGTTCTTTGTACATTTCCGATGGCATTGACAAGGAGACTTTAGTTGAAAATCAAGAGCTTTTCAAGTTTGCAATCATTTCATGGATAATTGTCAGTTCATGTGAGCCACAATTAAACCTTGAATCTTTATTTTAGTTGGAGGACGCGGAATTTACCGCTCAGTCTGCTCAGAAAAGCAAAAAGAAACTGGAAGAGGACGTGGCTGACCTACAAAACCAGCTGGAACTCTTGAGCAAGTCCAAGAAAGAGGTAGGCCCATTTATATGGTCTCGGGAACCCGAGGCAACCCTTCCCTTGAGTTACCCTGGCTGTTTTAAATTTTCACTCATTCAGATGGAAAGAGAAATCTAGCTTGTTTGATGTCAAGGTGCAAGCTCAGTTTTAAATGTTGTTATTTGTCTCTCAGCTCGAGACGAAGTACATGACGACGCTAAAAGAAAACACTGAATTGCAAAGTAGAGTGGAGGAAGACGAAGATGACATCGATTCCCTAACAGAGAAGAACAGACAAATTGGAAAACAGGTTTGTGTTGCGTATTGTCGTTGATGAGATATCGTCAAATGATATTTATTTCAGTCACTGCCGCTAGATCATGGAACGCATTGGCAAGTTTCAAATCCTCTTAAAAGACTCATTTATTTCGGAACCACTTGCTTGGTAATTTTAACCACAGGGGTTCGTGATAACCTTGTATTGTACTTTTAACTTTTGCATGAGTACGCCCATAGAAATTATTTTTAACCATTTGTAACTAGATCTTTTATAACTTGCTTGTTATAACCAACTTGCCTTATTTCTGTCAGTACATGTTGATGAGGGATTCGTAATGTAATGCCATATATTTTTCTATTATTATTAAAAGATTGTGAATGTCATTGATGTATCGTCTATCACTTCCTTTTCGCTTAAATTCATTTAAACAAAGAACTTTCGGTACCATGGCTAGCTTTCCGTTTTAAGTTTGCCTACTTGGTCTAGTATGTGATATCATAACTAAAATCTAAAAGAAAATCTTAAGACTTATTGTAAGCTTTGACTTGAATTGTTTCCATGATTGGAGGGACTTGTGAAAAGCGTCTTCCTTATTATCACGTGTATCTCCGATCTTGATCAACTGTGAAGTTCATTTTTCATCTCGTAGCTGGCTGAGGCTCAACAGATGCTACGTGAGCGGGAGGCTACCATTCAGGATATCACTACTCAAAAGGAAAACTTAGAAAGCAAGGTGAGTCACACTCCACTACTATTTCATGCCTGAAGCTCATTTGCGCGGGGTTCAAGGGATTGTGGAAAAGCAGTTAACGACGGCTTTGGTTTTACTCGGCTTTGTTCTGTGATTGGTTGAAGAAAGAATGAAAAAAAAAAAAAAGAAAAGAAAAAAAAACAAACACTTTTTGTGTTCATTTGGGTCGTAGTCATATTTTTCTTTGTTCCGATAGGCCAACGTGATTACTTTGGTTTTGGTTGTGCGACGTGCAATCGAATAGCGTAGTTAGTGTAACCCGTTAACGTTATCTTGTTAGCTCAGTTGTTATAAGCTTATCCCTCCAACTTCGCTTGTCCCCGTTACCCGAGAACGCTGTGCATGTAATTGCCTCCCCAAATTAGAAAAGGGCAGTAGTTTACCGATGCTGCCTGACGTAAAGAGAAAGAACCTCTCGTTTTTGTGTGGTAGAATCTACCGACACTGTGAGACAGTCCCGGCGTGCCACGCCTTGGTCACGTACCGCTAATAATGGTCTTCTTTTTCCTTGTAAAGGTTGACCACATGGCAAACCGTCTTTCGTATTTGGAAGAGTGTACAGTTGAAAAACATCAGTTTGACCAAATGGAGAGCAAGGTATTCATTGCTGTATGAATAAATCATGATTGGTAATTAGTGAAGAATGTCTGTTTGGCTTACTTCTGGTTTTTATTTTTCATTTCCAGAGAAGGGAACTTGCAACGCAGTTGGATTTGGAGGGATCATTCAAAAAAAGACAAGAGGTGCAGTGGTTTCGTTCATTTCTTTTTCGTAGCTTGTCGGTAGTGATCTTTTTAGTTTTTGTTTTGACTCCACTTATCGGAAATCTTGCGGAGCTTTACGAAAATTTTTCGAAATCACGTCTCTTTCCCACAATTGTTTTCGCATTTTTACTTGTCAGACTTGTGCAAGTAATGTGTTATTTGATCTTTAGGTTCAAGTCAGTCGACTAAAGGAGCAAGTTCAAAAACTAAACGACGAAAAGGAAGATCTGCAGCTCAGAGAAAACAAACTCATTCAGGAGAACTCCAGGTACTTGCATCTCGTCTATTCAGTATCTTCTTTCATGTTTTAGGCTGTATACTTTTTTGACCACTTTGGTCTCATTCATTCTATTTGATCAAACTTAAATGGTCCTCTCTCTTAATCCGTCACCAGCTACTAAGTCCTTTGCAGTTAGCAACAGCATGCTTCGTAAAACAGCTCGGTTGAGGGGGTATTGAGCTAAACAGCCATGTCCCGCAAGTTGGATGTCTGAAGCGCAAATTTGCCCTATAGCAAGGAATTTTATGCGTTTACTGCTACCCCCAAAAAGCTCCTCATCCACTGGGTTTGCCAGGTTTTTTTTACGCGCTTTTACTAATACACATGAAGTCTTCTAAAGCAGCGATACTCTTGAAAGTTCACGTTGTACTTCTCTCGCATCTCTAGGTTGGATCGACAAATGCGTGAGTTAAAGGAGGAGATGACTTCCCTCTCGAGACAAGAAGAGGATCATAAGAAAAGAAAACTTGATGCTGTGAGTCTCTTTCGAATCGTTTCACTTCTTAAGGCGATCACCTTGGCACTTATTAAGATATTATTCTGTATATCTTCGATTGTTTGTCATTTGTTACTCCTGTGTAGACTGAAATATCACTGGTAAAGTCTTAATGAAACACTTAACTCTTCTTCTCAAATTGTTTTTGTTTCTTTGAAATTTTTAGGAACGAGAGGTTGAAAATTTAGAGGGTGTTGTAGCAGGCTTAAAGCAAGAATTGGGAATGGCAAAGAAACGCGTCAGCGAATTGCAGCACGCTTTGGAAGATGACATGCACTACGACTCGGAAGGAATGTCGAACGACGACGACTACGGCGATGACGACGACGACCTCGACATGAGTGATGAATCCGACGAGTTCAAAGACACTGGGTCACGACGGTCAGAGCCGAGGTCATATCGATCGTTCGACGAGCTTGACGACGAGTATGACATCACTGATCGACTGAAAAGAAAATTGGACGATCTTAGTGACGATGTACCTTCTTCTCCTAGAGGGTCACGACCTGTTAATGATTCTGTGGATTCCAACGTGTTCGAGAGCTCTCGGAAATTCGATAACGTCAGTGACACGCGAAAAAGCAATCGTAAGGAAAGCGGAGATGATCGCCATCATCGGCGGTCACGATCGGGTACCGACGAACATGATACCAGTGTCGATAAGAAACGAAGGAAGAGCGATGATAAAAGAAGAAAAAGTCTTGAAAAGAAAAAAAGTTTTGAGAGAAAATCCAACTCCACGGATAATTCTATACATTAACGAGAAGACAGAACAGATGACTGTTGTATATGATTTTTGTTGTGAACAGGATTTTACGGCGTTTTGGAACAGAGTTTGAGGCTGAATTGTGTTATTAGGCGATGCAACCGCAGATGTTATTGTTGAAGTTGTCACTTAAACAGTGCCATATTAGCCAAAATATGGCGTTGAACTCGTTGAACACATGATCAAACATGGCTTCAAGACTCAAACTACGTCAGGATTAGGGGATAGACTCAGCTTTTTCATTTTTTTTAATGCTGTGTAAGATATCGAAAACTCATTAAGGTGAATTGCTGGTCGCCAGCTTCAAATACAGTTCTTCTGGTTAATTAGTTGAGACTATGCCCAAAACTGAAATCGAAGAATTAACAACATTACTCGACAACCTACTCTAAATAATTTAATACTTGAGTTTCGTTTCATACGAACAGTCTCATCTGTGCCTCATGTCTGTTCTGGTTCTTGGATAACATGTTAAGGTTTGTTTGTCAGTAACAGATGGTACGGTGGTATAAAGGTTATGGTTAAATGGTTATATTTAATTACTTTGGTTCTATCTCGTTCTCTCTTTTAAACATTTTAACCAGTGTAAACTTTTCATGCTCAAAATTTCGTGCTATTTCTTGACATTTATTTAATCGCATCTACTTTATTGTTTTTCTAATTTATGGAAGTTTCCTCTGTCAACTCGCATCGTGGCATGTTGACAATACCACTTGTTCACTTTGACAAAATTAATCAATCACATCATGGGAAACGGGCAGTGGCTCTAACTAAAAACTATAGAGCTTGGCACTAAAGCCAGCAAAAGATGGTTAAAAGATTCAAATAGATTTGATGGTTAGTCTCTTGTCATAAATTTGGTCAGTGTCGAGTAAGTGACCTCGCAGTATAAGTTGTCGCGCTGAAAAACTTACTTTCATTATTGTACGTTAGAAGTGAGTTGCCTGTGGTAAATGTCGTATCCATTAACTCCTATAACATGCAAACCCACGTGATGAGTTCTTGGAAGAAGATTTTGCGATACCAATAAACGAAGTTATATACTGCTGATGATCCAGATAATTTATTTCAAGTTGAGAAGGTTATTTGTGCATCTCGCGTCTTGTCAACTTGAAGCCAATCTCAAGTAGCAATAAATTTTGCAGCGTGTGCGTCTGTTAAATGAAAGATTGCTCTCATTGGAAAGGTGACGAGATAAAAACTTAGAGTTTCACAGATAAATTAGGATGGTTGTAAATGACAGATTAATTATGTTGCACAAAACTCTTTTGGTATATACAAATCACTTGAACATATTTTATATTAGGACTGAACAGATTTAATTATGGTAGAGTAGTTATTTTTGTAAGGCTTCCTGCGTGTCTAAACGCTGGCTGTCGACTGGGATCTGATGGGTGTACATAAAGATACTGGCCTACACGTCCATGTTGTGTTAGTATTTTATTGTTGTGGGGGGCTGGAGGCGCGCGATGTGCGAGCGAGGAAGGCGCAAGGGTCGAGTCTCGCACGATAGGAGCTGTGTGAAAAAAACACTCGATCGCGCTTGCTGATCCGCTCGCGTGAAAACGACACCGCTGGAAAGGAGATAGTTCCACGCCTTAGCAAAAATGTTGTAATACTGGAAACCTGTAGGGAATAAAAATCCTCCATCATCCTCCCCCTTCCCCTAGCCAAAGAGTAAATTATTAAGTGCCGAAGCTCTATCCTACGTGTAGCCGTACCCTCCCCCCCCGCCAAGGTGAAACGGAGGTTCCCTCGCCTCCAATTCACCTTCACCATTTTCCCGCCACATTTATTGTGTTGAGCAATGAAATTCGTTGGAGATGTAAGATCTGTGCGTGGCTTCATAATTTCTGAATTAAAGGATTACAGACATGATCAGCGCCCTAAATAGGTAGTTGTAGTACCTGAAAAAATAATTTCCTCCCTTGATGTTGACTGAATTTGACAGTTAGTGTACGCAATCGTGTGGAAATCAGCTGTCGATCCGGGTTCTTGCAAATCAATCTGCAAATCAGGTCCGGTGAGGTATAACCTTAACGTCAGATTTAGGCGAGGTCGCTAAATTTTCTCAGAATAACCATGACGCTGTTCGAGCCACTTGCAAACATAAACGATATCTAAGGACAAGGTAAAGAAAATGGAAATGTACGTGTGGCATCGGTGATGCAGTATTCGAAGCACTGTGAGCGATCTTAAGTTCGATCTTGATTTTTGTGCCTTTTTTGAGCGATCATGTCGGGTTACGGAGCACCTTCAGTGGCCATGGCGCCCTTTTTGAACGAAAGAAAAGCCATCGAAGATTTGACGAGTCTTCTTAAGCATATTGACGACAAAGGAGAGCTTAAAGATCTTCTGGAGAATGAAAGTCAGCTCAATGAACTAATCGCAGATAATGAGGAGGTTTGTTGTTCAGTTTGTGCATGTTTGTATCGTTCGCTGCTGGGATATTAATCCGTTTTTTCCTTGTTAAATGTCGCATTCAAATGTTTATCATCCATAAATTTAGCATGGTTCGTTTTTTCGATCTTGCTTACAAGAGTTCTTCCAATCAAGTGGCCACATCGCTATCGTTTCCTCTCTTTCGAACCTAAATGTAGCGTTGTACGATTATATGTAATTCCACTTTTGGGGTTAATAAATTTAAGTACAAGTCTAAACCCTAAGCTAACCCTAACCCTAAGTACTGGTTGTACAAACGGAATCGAAGAGTAACGGACATTTAAATAATACGGTTTTTATGGAAAGGAGGTTTTTAGTAATGCATAGACGGCTGCTTCAAGTCATGTTGTAGCTTTTTTTTTAATATACTGTCACAAAATATAGTTTGGTTTGTTGCGTGTGATTTGATTGTGAGCAGAGCGGTCGTTCACTAAACTAGACGCAAAAATCCCACCAGTGGCCTGTCCTGACAGCTGCATATAGATTTGGAAAGTTAGAGTTGTCAGGGATGTCAGTAGAGAATGTAATAGATGTATGATCTGAACTGAGTGGGTGGCTGAATTAAATTATTCTTGAGTAGCAAGCATGGCGTGTTGAAAAGGAACTTTCTTGGGGTCAGGTGTGGCATGCCCCCCCACATTTAATGTATGAAACTCTGTCAGATGGATGTGGCATCAATAATTTTGGAACACATTTGAGACACTTTTGTTTTAGCTAGACTTTGGTGTTAGAATCAATTAAAAAATACTTATTTTCTGTCTTTGATCACAGTTTACAAAGTAACCAGTGGAAACTGGTCTGATAGCCAGCAAGTTTCTGCTGCTTATTGACATCTTAGGAGAACCCTGAGTATTATGATATTCATGGATGTAATCTTTTACTTATGATTTACAGCAGTGACATGATTGTTGTTAATAACATTTTGCATGTAGGTTAAGAGAATTCAAGTGCAGCGTGAGACTCTGATGGCAAGTAACAGAAGTCTTGCAGAGTACAATCTGTCACAGCAACCTATACTGGAGGCAAAGAAAAATGCACTTTTTGAGGCTCACCGAAACAAGGCTGTTATTCAAGAGATGTATGAAGAGTACAGAAAAAAACTAGGTACAGTATTTGTTGAGTATAGCTGTATCAGAGTTGTGTTATTAGACATAATTATTCACCTACAATTGCCTCAAAATGAAGGCATGGTTATTTTGCTGGCCCTTTGGTAAGCTATCAACACATTTTCATCACAACTTGCCTTGTTGTATACTGTATTATAAAATAATTCAAATAGTACGCGTGCTCTGATTGGCCATAATACCATTTCACATGAGCGTATGTAAACACGGTTTTCGTTCCTCTTTCATAAGTTATTTTATAAAAGAAATGTAAAATGGTTTCTGTGTTTACATAGCCTGATGTAAACACTTGGGGAGGTTGGGAGAACACTTGATAAGCTGGAAACCACTCCACTTCGCGTTGTGGTTTTCTACGCTTGTCTCGTGTTCTCCCAACCTCCCGTGTGTTTACATCAGGCTATGTACACACAGAAACCATTTTACATTTCTTCAATGAAAATACTCTGTGCAATTAAAATCCTTTGTGCAAAAACCTCTCAGGTGACATGCAGCAAACTTTGAATCTGCTTAATTTTGGTTAAAAATTAATAGTTTCATTTAAGTCTTTTTTGTTTTTTTTTTACATAGGTTTTTTACTCACTTTTTTGTTTATCACTCATACAAGTGTATTAAGGAATTATTTTATTACAGCCTTCAGTCTTCAGTGATTAAAGGTTGTGACTACATTACAACATGCCTCTTGGTTCAGCTAATGGTATTAATGTGTAGCTGGGTGATGGGATTGTGTGAGTTTAGTCATGTTGATATTGACTCATGCAAACCTAGATCCTGTTCTCCAACAGAGCTATTCATTATCTGTGAACAAAAAACGTCATAGGATGTTGGACTATTGGTTTATTAAAAATGACTGATTCTTTGCAGATGCACTTTCAAGCCAATATTCACCGGACACAACCTTAGCATTGTTGCAAACTTCTGCAGCACAAGCAGAGGAAGAAGCTGAGGTAAATTGAAAATAAGGGTGTATCTAGGTTATGCTCCCTTTTAATCTTCTCTCTCAAATTGCATGGGGCTAACTGGGGTATGATGATCAGTATACAAGCCAGCTTCATTGGAGAAATGTCTGGTAAATTTCCAGTACTGACAGTCAAGTGCAGGACATGGTCCAACACCTTAACCCTTAAACTCCCAAGATCTGATTGTTAATTCTCCCCTCTGGCTGCAACACATTTCCTTGTAAACTAGTAACGAGAATTTGCTGTTAGATCAAGATAGCAACTTCAACCTGATAAGTTTGAGTATTCTCATTACATTTTTGTTGGATAATGCATGGATATTGTAGGGAGAAGTTACTTGTTAAGCACATCTGGGAGTTAAAGGGTCAAAAACGGATATCTGATACAAACCCAAAAAAATGCTATATTTATAGTGTTTAGCACCAATGTAGAAAAATTTGGTTTCCATCCACTTTTCAATTACAGAAATGTTGCAATTTGTTTGAAGCTGTTGGTAAAATGACGTTGAGTTGAACTATAACATCTTTCCTGAACAATTTTCTATTTGACTAGCTTCACTTTTTCTTGGCAAAAACTCCTCAGTGGTTTGACAAATGATTAGATCATTTGTCAAACCACTGAGGATTTGCAGGCTTGGTATATGGTAAGTGTTGTTGTATGTTATAATGATTAATGAACAGGTGTGCATTCTTTAGCACTGAATCAAATATTTTATTGCATTTCAGAAAATTGCTGATAAATTCCTAGATGGTGAAATCAATGTTGAGGACTTCATTCAGTCATTTCAAAGTCAGAAGACTATTCACAGCTTACGAAAAATTAAATCTGAAAAGTTGACTGAGCTATTAAGAAGTAGGATGTCTTCCCAATATTCCTATAGGCTTTAATTGTTCATACTCTTAAACAAGAAGAAAAATACATGTTAAAAATAAACAGGCTTATCGTCTTTTCTCTTCAAAATAAAACAAAGCTTTGTGGATATGGTCAAACTCTTTTGTTGGGGCCAGCCCCAATGAGGATTAAAAACAAAACTTGACTGGGGTTTCTGTGTTCAAAAAGGCATGATTTAGAGTTGATGGAGAAGGATGAAATACCTTACATTTTTCAACCTTTCATTGGCAAAATGAAAGTTTGTACTCATGTGAAATCATTAATTTATGCATAGCTTATATTAATGTAATAGAGCAGTTGTTTGGGGGATAATGCTTTGTTAACTATTTTACTCCCAGATTTCATTAGTGATGCTCCATACTGTCTGCCATACAATTCTTACGATGTTGGTGTGAAGAATTTTGTGTTGGATTGACTAATAATCCCCTAATTGATATTTTTGCTTATTCTCATCACTTGTCTGCTTGATGTTGTATGGATATTGTAAAGACAAGTTCTGTTTTGGTTGCTCATGAGAGCTAAAGGGTTATGTGTATATTGCCTGTCTGAGCCTGACTCAGATTAAAGTGATGTCAACTGGGAGTTAGGCCCAGATTGACAATCTTCACCTTGGACAAAGTCATTGGTAAAATTTAATAAAGTTAGTATTAACAGGCTGGGAATTATGCTTACATGTTTATTATATAATGTGATCTGTAGCAGCTATGGTGATCACATAGCTTGGAATTGGTTGTATTACTTTAATTCACTTTAGCACAGCTAAGTTCGAAGTAAAGTTCAAAGTTAATTTTTAGGTTTTCTAATAGTAATTATCAGTACAATATGACTGTGGTATGTATATGGTTTGAGACCAAGAGACAGTTAGACAGGTGTCAGAAAGTTTTCCCAAAAGCTTAAAAGGTGTGCAAAGGAGCTGGCTCTTTTGTATAATGTTAGTCCTTCAAATTTTTGTGCAACCTTCAGGCACTGATTTTTGATATGTCTTCCATAGTTTCCTGTAACCCATTAAAACTGAGAATAAAGAAAAAGTGTTTCCTTCTTCACTTACTTGTTAGGTTTTATATTGAACTATCAATGAATTATTATCTAATAAGTTCAGTTATGCACGCATTCTGATTAGTTCTCACTTATGATCTATCGGAGGACAGATGTATAAATGATGTCATCATTAAAACTTTGTTTAATTCTTAATTATATAAAACAAATAGTTTCCAAGTTGCTGTGCATCTGTTCAGTAATAGATCACAAAGGACGTCAAAATGTGGTAAGAACATCAGTGACACACTCAGCTGCACCTTGTGTGCCACTTTTTTGTTCTTACCACATTTTGACATTATCTGTGATCTAGTACTGAACAGATACACAGCAACTTGGAATCTATTTGTTAATTACACTCTCCTTTGAGTAATCACCCCCACCCTACTCCCCAACAATAAATATCACATATCAATATCTACCACACACGTTAATGATGCTTTTTGAGCATACTGATTGTCTAGTTCATAAGGAAATGGTGAGAACTAAGTTGCACGTCAACAATTGAATGGATCATATTTGGGCATATTGACAGAAATAAACTTTTTCTTTTCGGTTTTTTGTGTGATATATACAAAAACAATTATTTACTTCAACGTCAGTGAATATGGTGGATATTTACCCTGCTGCCTTGAACTTCACTTAACATCCACCACTATTCAGCTCCACTTTAATGAATAATTGTTAACCCTACACATTCCAGGCCACCAGTAGGCTTATCAACTTCAGAGCTTAAATCGAAGGATTTATGTGAGAAGAGGGCTAAATATACACCCATTGATGAGAGCAGGCATGCTAGTCATTACTTTCCCTCTGACTCTCATGTAAACGGATCTAGTACACATAACTTTTTGTTTGAAAGGTGCATGCCATATTTAAAAGGAAAAGTCACAAAGTTTTCCACAAAAGCAAGAACTGTGTGAAGCAACTTTAACAGTCTCCTTTGCAATCATTGTTTGGTCTTGTTGTGCAATGCACTCCCTTCCCTACCAGAGCAAGGGAAACTAACTTCAACAACCATCAATTTTCTGTGGCTGTCAGTTGCATAATACAAAACAAAATTACCACAGGATTAATTTACCCCTTCATATAAAGTATTAAAACAAAATTTAAAAAGTCACTCCGAGAGCAGAGGAAGATCAAACAAGGCCTTGGTAAGAAATGCACTTGCCTTCTGGGGAGGTTACTTTATTTTCATTGTTTCTTGGTTTTGATGGGGGAAATATAACTGTAAAAGTTGAGCCCAAACTGTTCTTAATACAAAATTTACACAAAAGAGTGGTTGGTGTAGAAATCCCAACTTTTATCATTTAATATTAGCTTCCAAATTCTCATTACCAAATGTTTTTGTATTTTCTACCAATGAGAGAAATGTATGCGATATTTGTGTAAAATATCACATTCGAAAGTCATCTTTTGATTCGAATTTCTGTGCGTTTTTACTGTAATAATACATACAAATAAGCAATAATACGGTAATCGAAACAAACGTAGCCTTCATTGTACCAGATCCCGTTGTTGGCGTATTCAATTTTTCTTTCCTAAGTTGTTCTTGTCTTAATTTTGTTCGGTGATTTCGATCAAGTATATCCGAGTAGTGTGCTTTAGTCCATTCGTCAAAATTATAAATCGACCCTGATTTCTTGACCGTTTGTGGATGTTCGTAACCTTGTGCGTGTTCTGCTCTCAACTGTCCTTCGCCGATAAGTTCTCGATCATATTGCTTTCTCGATTCTTGATTTCCAAGTACGTTGTAAGCCTCAGTGATATTTTGAAACTTTTCGTGAGATTCAGCGCTTCCCTTGTGTTTGTCCGGGTGGTGGGTGATGGAGAGCTTGTAAAATGCGTTTTTAATCTGTGCCTGGGTGGCTTTAGGTGAAACGCCGAGCACTTTGTAGAAGTTTTTCGTCCTGGTCTTTGCTCCTGTGCTGTAGAATTTCACATCTCTATCGGGGTGTATCAATTTTAAAGCAAATTTATGAACGCCAAAAATCGACGATGATCTCAGAAAGCCGTGAAAAGATGTTTTACGAAACTGACTGTACTTTAAACCAGTCCATCGCGGGGACGATGAGCTCTGGATCAACAATCTGACCACACAATTCATAACGAAGTGGCCGGCATTTAGTCAGTGACCGCCATTGCTTTCTTGCGTAACATAATTTAGTAGTATATGAAGGTATTCTTGAACATGAAGTATCAAGTTCTGTCACGCACAGTTGCTGCTATGAAACACCGTGGACGTAGGTTTAAAGCGCAGATCCGCTGATATCATAAGATTACTTTTCCAACATGGCGTCCGGAAGGCGACCTGAACATCAAGCACCACCAGAAGTGGTAAGAATTTTGTAATGCTGTCCACTTCTTTTACGTATTTTATCTAGAATAAAGGAATTTGGGCCTCAATCATCTTTTTGCCTTTTTCTCCAGTTTTATAATGACGATGAAGCCCGCAAATACACATCAAAGTGAGTGGAATCTTTTATTTACTAACACGTAGCACGTGTGTTCATTTGCAACCGGGGGTTGAATCTATCAATCTTCAATTTCTGGGGTGATCATCGCGCTATGTGGGTTTTTTAATTCTAGATAACGACCGTAGGAGCTAGTATGGCGCCTTTAGGGTAAACTTACATGTGTCTTATGATATAACTAGCTCAGTAAACTCTTTAAACCCAAACAACCCAAATAGAAGTCATCTTCAGAGTCAAGTGAATGGTTGTGGTTAGTCAGATGTCCTAAATCTGGTTCATATAAACTGATTGATCAGTCTTGCCGTGATGTTATTGGATGATGTTGTCTTTGACGTTTGTCAGTGTAGTGATGCACGACCAATCTCGACTGACTTACACTACTTGAGTGTTACAGCCAATAGCACCAAGCAAGGCCGACCAATCAGTTTATTCGAATGGGAGTTAGAACATTTGACTGACCACAAGCATTCATGTCATTCCAATGATGACTTCCACTCAGGACTACCAACACCAGTCCTTCTCCTGACCACATTCACCTGGAGGATCAGACTACACTATCAAATGTTAACCCCAGGTTCAAACTATTTACTGTAATCTCAACATAGTCTTGATGTCATACCTATCAAGTGGGAGAGTGTTATTTTCCGTATAATATTTTACTTCATCACTGTCAAGTCCCATAATACATGTACATGTATTTAATATGGAAAATTATCATACTTTGTAATTTCAGCACAAGAATGATTGAGATTCAAGTCCAACTTTCTCAGAGGGCAATAGAGCTGTTAGATTTGCCAGAGGATCAACCTAGTTTTCTTCTGGACATAGGGTACTGCAATACAATTCTAATGTAAATTATATATGACTATTTCAGCATGCAAATAGTTTATTTGACAGTTGCCTCCTCTAGGAGTGGGTAAAGCTTTTACTGCATGTTCAAATTTTTTTTGTTTTACCTTTTTTTTGCTAAAATAAATTATTACAGCTGATCTCAACATGACTTTGACTCATTTTATGTTTTTGGAACATTTACTCAATTTCCTAGCTTTGGTTTAGTATATCATTAGATGTTTTACCACTTGGAGCTGTAATCAATGTATTATTTAGAGTAATTTGCATCAACCATTTTAATAGTGTGTCCCTTCACTTCATTTTCCATGTCACTTCTTCCTCTCATGGTAAATACATAAATATGAAGTGTTTTATTTCTTTTCTTTCTTCTTTTGTAGCTGTGGATCTGGTTTAAGTGGTGAAGTGTTGACAGAGCTGGGTCATCAGTGGGTTGGCTTAGATATCAGTCCAGCAATGCTTGGTAAACATGATTGATAAGGACAGAACCACTTAAATTTTGTTATCTAAAGGGTGTTTGTTTGTTTGATTGTTTTATTTTTTGCATGTCAATGCATACTTTGAGTTTCCCAGTAGGTTTATTTGCAATTCTTCTCTCTCACAAGCAGCTACAGAAATCTTCAATTTGCTTCTCAGAAAACTTATGTGATGGAGCACATTTACAATGTAAATGTAGCAAGATAATGTCCTGTTTGAATCTCCATCTACAAGGCAGTATATCCTTATGGCTTCTTTTTTAAATTAAATTACTGAGTATTTAATTTTTTAGTATAAAGTGTGTTTGCTCATGTGTCAAGTGGCTATATTTGTTTGTCTAAACAAAAATCTTTTACTGGTATTACATTGTAGGAAGAAGGTGCTTTATTCTGAAAGCATTGATTCAGTCCTCCTTTAAGGTGGATGTGATGTCTGGAGTGAATTGCCTTCTCATTGGTGGATATTTTTCACTTAATTTTGGCAGATGTAGCAGTTGAAAGAGAAGTAGAAGGAGATTTGTTTCTTCATGACGTAGGACAGGGTCTTTGTTTCAAACCTGGAACATTTGATGGATGCATAAGGTTTGGCCATAGCTTATGGTTTATTGCTATGTCACCACTGATAAACCCTTTGCACCCAAAGATCAGTGTTCATATTCTCCATACTGTTCTCTGTACATTAACTAAGATGTTGACAAGGAGAATTTGTTTAAACATTGTGAACTTCTTCAATTGGTGATCATTTCCTTTATTTTTATTGCATTGTGTTTGGTTCATGGGTGATATTTTAAGGTGAAATTGGATGCTAGTCACTCTTAGATGTTAAATGGTTAAAGCAGCATCTACAGAATGTACTTGTTACGACTCAAGCAGTGACAAGAATAATATTTGTCTGTTATAATGTAGTTAACAATCTGTATCATCATTAGCTGGATTTTTATTTTTATTTTTCAATGTTACTTCATAGAATAGTGCAGTACTCTGGTAGATGCTTCAATCTTTTAACTCCCAAGATCTGGTTATTAATTCTCCCCTCCAGCTGCTACACATTTCCCTGTAAATTATTTATGAGAAGTTGATGTTAGATCAAGAAAACAAATTTTACCTGATAAGTTTGAGCATTCCCATTACCAGTTTGTTGGATTATGTATGGATGTTTTAGGGAGAAGTTACATGTTGATCATGTCTGGGAGTTTAAGGGTTAATTGGCTGAGGAAAGATTCAGTAACTGTTGTAACTTACTGTATCACGAGCTTTGCAAACCCAAATCTTCTTTGCTGGTCCATTAGTGGCCTCAAGTGTCACCAATGTTCAAAAGACTAGTGGTATAAAATGTAATATCATTTGTCTTTTTTTTTTTTCCCTTAAAGCATATCTGCTCTTCAGTGGCTTTGTAATGCTGACAAAAAGGGACACAATCCTGCTAAAAGGCTCTACAAATTTTTCAGTTCACTTTACAGTTCAATGGTGAGTTTGAAAAGGTTTATATTCCTCCATAATTTTGTTTGTTTATCTAGCTTAGCATTTGAGCCAGTACCTCAAACTTAACCTCTGATCTGAAGACACTCTCAGTAACATAAAAAAATTACCATTCCCATGAGTTTATTCTGTATGACTGTCAATCCAGTGATGATTGAGTTAAAAGGTGTTAGGAAGAATATCTTACTGAGGGTCACAAGAACAGTTTACCACATTTTGCAACCATTAGTATTGGTCAGATGTCATTAAGAAATATATTTAAAATAAGGTGAATCGGGAATTAATCAGATTCAGCAGCCTCATGCATGAAGACAGGAATTAATCAGAGTCAGCAGCCTCATGCATGAAGACTCTGGCTTATATTTTTACTGATGTCTTTTCTACAGTATTTTTTTTTTTTTTTTAATGTATGTAGAGTCGGGGAAGTAGAGCAGTTTTCCAGTTCTATCCAGAAAACCCTCAACAGGTATTTTGAGCACATTTGCCTTATCTCAAGCCACAGGGCTGAAAGGGGCCTTTTAATTTGTGAGAATTTCTGTTAGATCAAGACAACAACTTCTACAGATAAGTTTGAGTATTCTCACTACGTGTTTGCTGGATAATGTATGGCTAGTATACTGAAAGTTACACGTTAATCATTTCTGGGAGTCAAAGGATCAACAATCTGTTACATTCTAGCTGAAATGTAAAAATATTTTGGTCTTTTTGTGGCACAGATCGTTTCATGCACTTGTAATTTTGGTGTGTGTATAGGTTGAGTTGATTACAACACAGGCCATGAAAGCAGGATTCACAGGAGGCTTAGTGGTTGATTATCCTAACAGTACTAGAGCTAAAAAGTGAGTAAATACTGTACAAATTATTCTTGTATGCGTGGGCTAAGTGATGCTTTCTTTATAATTTAATTGTGATCTTGCAATTTCCAAGGCCAACTATTGTTACAGTAAAGAGTTTCGAAAGCTGTCATTTGGAGCATGGGCCCTTAATCATCAGAGCTAACGCTTCAAAGGTCAGCTTTCTAAACTCTTGAAAGTGGCCAGTTTACATTATCAACTTGGTTGATAAAACCAACTATTACCACTTTATTGGCATAGCCCCACCAATACAGCACCACAGTTTCTTTAGAAATTCAACCCTTTCTTCCAACTGATTTTTCAGAATATTCCTGTGTCTTTTTGCTGGTGTAGTTGGGGACAAACTTCCAAAGGTACATTGGTTGTTTTTTGTCAAAATTGACTGATCTCACTGGTGACTATTTATTGGATAATTGTTTCAGATTTACCTTCTACCTGAATCCTTAGTTTGACAAGTTGAGATCCATATTAGTTTTTGTTGACAGTTTACAATTAATGAATGTGGTGGATGTTTCAGTGTCATCGGTGTGATGATAAGTACTGTACTTACTTTATTTGTTTTCAGATTTACATTTTGAAACCTTTGTAAATATGTATCTATTTGTAAATTTGAAGTGGTTAGTGTTTAGTGGTTAGGCATTTGATGTTAACTTTATAGGCTTGTCTAAGAACATCAAATTAATCAATTTTTGATTTTGATAGGGCCTTGGCACTGAGGATTCCAAATCTGTTGAGGATAGTGTTCAATTTAGTGGGAAAAGGTACAAATTGAACTTGATACTATTCCTGTCAACTTGAAATTGAAGATACTTTCCAATATTCAGAGCTGACTGGAAAAAAGAGGTTGCTTGCTGCAGTGATTTCCTTTATTGATCAGAATTGTCTGACCAGATCTATCTGTCAATCTTCAAGTTTTAACTACTATTGTTGTGATGGCATTTGTATCAAGAAAAAAAAATTCCCATTGAGTTTCAGTAATAATTTATGTGGTCAGCTGGTTAGGACAAATGGAACTCACCCTAAGGGATGAGGTTTTGGCTACTGTTTCTAAAACTCCAATCTCATGTTGATATCTATACATATGATGAAGAATTATTCACCTTGCTTTCTTGTAAATGATAAGCTTCTGCAAACCAAACTGCTTTGAAAAGATGTGGACCCTTAACTCTTGGGTCTGCAGATTATGACCCCACAAGACAATAACAAGGTTGCGTTTCAGTTTCTCAGGTTAAGAAATCATACAGTCATACTTGAATACTCAACTTAGAGGCTGCCAAATGCTGATGTTGACCAATGCATATGAAAATGTCAACTTATGGGGGCTTGGGATTCTCCAAACATTTTCAGTAGCTTCCAAAATGTTGTCCAACTTTGAATATGTTTGGAAACTAGGTAAGGTTTGGGGATCCTAGCTAATAACTTTCGGCCATGTTCCACAGACTGTCACTGTGTTTGGTCCATTTTAGGCTGTAGTAATTGCATTTGTTGCACAAAAGACGAAACAATGGTTAGATTGAGTTTTATTGCTTTGTATTAGAGAGAGAACAAAAGTACCACGAGGAAAATCAATAAAAAAGAGCAAGGACTGGGTAAAAGAAAAGAAGGACAGGAGAAGACGACAGGGAAAGTAAGGAGATTTGCAAAATCAATCACTGGTTGAGCACTGAGGATACCTTAGCCCTTTACCCCCTAACATCAGTATCCATATTCTCCATACTATTCACTATACATATCCCAAGGTGCTGACAAAGAGAATTTGTTCAATAATCAACAGCTGCTTTAGTTGGTGATCATTTCCTCTATTCCCATGACCTCAATGTTTGATTCAAGGGTGATATTGTAAGGAGAAATTAGATTCTAGTCACTCTTAGGGGTTAAAGGGTTAACCTCTCTTTTGTTGGAGGAAAGGAAGTCTAATGGAAAGATTTCTTGAGTTCATTTTACCCTTTATGTCCAAGATCTGATTGTCAATTCCCCCCTTCAGCTGCTATACTTATCCTTGTAAATTAGTTGCCATAATTTGGTGTTAGATCAAGATGACATCTTTACTTAATAAGTTTCAGTACTCTTATTATCTGCTTGATAGATAATGTATGGATATTGCAAGAATAAGTAACATGTTAAACACTTCTGGGAGTTAAAGGGGTAAAGCATTTTTTTACCTAAAACGACACAGAACTATTAGAAAAAAAATGTCCTATTTCTGTTTCAGAGAAGTAAGGCCAGACTCCAAGTATACAGGAAGGAAAAGAAAATCCACATTTTAACCTTATCTTTCATGATGGAATTAGTCAGGAACTAATGTGGCAGCCTCTTGGAACAAGAGCTATTAATGGTCTTGAAGATATGCCCAGTCTTCGTTTCTGTAAGCGGAAGCACAAGTGCTCAGTTAAATTACAAGGAGTTTGCTGAAATTAATCAACATTACAATGTGGAACAGTCAATAAGGTTGTCGCAGAATGATGCACAAAGCTACATAGCCATGCATGCATATAGCTTTAAACTTGAGAATTGGAGAGCCTTGACCTTCCTCTTTAACTTACAAAATATAGAATATTATTTCAAGTGAGGGAGGGATGAGTGGGTGCTTACCCCCCCCTCCTCTCCTCCGCTCAAGGTGCATCCATGAATGAGCCTTCTTAGAGCCAGAAGCTACCTTCTGTTGTAAAAGTGGACATGATTTTAAGGGAAACTTTCTGAATTCATGCACAATATGTTTTACAACTTTGAATTAATAATTTCTTACCTTGATGGAGTACCCTAAATGCTACAAATATTAAAATTAACTCCTAAATGTTGTTGTGAAAATCACTTATAACGTAAGGATTGACATTTGATTCTAAAGGAAAACGGGAAAATTCAATCATTCATATTCATATTCATCCCAAACTGTGAAGTACACCTCTGGTGACTGAGAAGCATTTATAGTTGAATCCTGTTTGAAAATATTTGAATAAATGATAAATGAATGACAACGTTATGAGTTGTGTCGTGTATGTTGTTAACAGACCACTACATATCCCTGTACAGCTTATCATCAGTATGCATATTCTCCATACAATTTTCTCTTCATTCCTCCAGGTGCGCACAAGGAGATTTTGTTTAACAATCAAGAGCTTCTTTAGTTGGTGATCATTTACCTTATTCTCCTGACCCTAATGCGTGATTTAGAAGTGATTCTGAAAGAAGATCTTTAAACAGGCAAGGGCACATCTGTCACAAGCTTTTAGTCATTTGACCTGATCCGTGGACGCGTTTCCTACGTTTGTAGCTAGTTTTGAACCTCAGCCTGGAGAGCTATTCTTTTTTTCGTTTAGTTTTCAGCCGTTGCGAGTTGATATATTTTAATACTCGTATTTTCTCTTATCACTTTAACCATTCTGTATCTTAGGTTTTTGCCTTGATAACATCAAGCTAGTACGACCTGTTGGCAACATTCCACAATAGAGGGTGCGAAGCGAAACATTGAGTGGTATTTTTCTGCGAATTGAACAGTCGTGTCGTATTCCCCTAAAGAGCACTTTTGCCTTTTTTTTTTTTTTTTTTTTCTGGCCCTTGGGGAGTCTATCATGTTTTTTTAGCTTTTTTCCCGCAAATAACTGATTTTTATGCTCTTCAAAGTGTTCGTGCACCATCTTATGTTTTTTTGTGAATGAGGGGATGTTTTAATTAATCCTTTTGATGGTAACTCGCGTCGTGACAAAACTTAATGCGAGAACAGTAAGATGGCCGACTCTTCTGAATGTTTCTGGACTTGATCCTTGCAATAAGTCGTTCATGTTATATATAAACTGAAAATTTAGCGCATGTAAGAAAAATTCCCCGCGCCCTGTAGGTAGAGCTTCGCACCGCGTAAGCGGCCCCAATCAGGTTTCAAATCCTGGAGCAGTGAACTTGTCATTTTTTAATCAATTATAATTTTAAAATTTCCCTTCTTTTGGAGAGGGGGGGGAGGGAAATTTGCACTTGTCCTATGTATACTTAGAATTGCAACTGTTCTTAGACATGTTCCTCGCAGATCAGTGGGTGGAGCAATGTACTACAAAAACGGCCTCAGCCAGAAATCCTAGCCTGGGGAATTTGTCTGTCATCTTATATTAGATAGTTTTATTTCAGTTTTTGTTGTATTTTGCTTGGAAGTTTTTATTATTTTTTCCTTTGCTGGTCTTGATGATAATAAGTGCCGAATCCCTCTATTTGGTGGCTCATATTTTTTTTCCAAAATAAAATATTGTTTTTTTCTAGTTGATGGTATGTTAAGCTTTCACCGAGAACTTAACATTACTGGGGAACTGCATAAAAACTCCGTCAAATAAAAAAACGTAAAAGCTGATATTTAATAATGATGACAAATCTAAGTTGAGGGACCTCTATCTCGCCATGCTTCTAGTTCTGGAGTTGATCCTGGTAGATGACAGTACACTTGTTGGATATAAACTTAAAATTAAGACTCGCAAGCAGTAAAAGGTCCATGGATATAGATTTGATCCTGGGGGCATCACACTTGTTAGATATAAACTTTAAAATTTAAGATTGTTTTTCAGACAAGTTTCCCGCAGCTCAGTGGGAAGAGCAATCGACCGTGTTAACGGTCCCTTCTAGGGTTCAAATCCTAGAGCGGGGAACTTGTCAGTTGTTTTTTATCTTTTTGACTTGTTACTTCATTTGTTTCTTGATTGTTTTAATTATTATTTCAGACTTTTCTATTTTTTTTCAAGTTCATGGAGAGCGAACGTTTTTCCAAAAATCAGAATTTGCCTTCTGCAGTTGATCTTGGTAGACTGCAGTACACTTGTTAGATATGAACTTAAAAATTAAGACTCCTATTCAGACAGGTTCCCTGCAGCTCAGTGGGTGGAGCAATATACCGCGAAAGCGGTCTCAGCTAGAAATCCTCGCTTGGAGAACTTGTCAAATTTTTTTTATGAATTTCTGTTTTTTATTTTCGCTTGTTTGTTTATTTGTTTTTCTCTTTTCTTTGCTAGTCTTACCAATGATAAGTTCTTAATGCTTTATCTGCTGTTTACTTTTTATAATAAGACAATGTTTTCTTCGGGTTGATGATAAGTTACTTTTAAACCAAATAATTAAAATTAGGGAGCTGCAATGGAATAGAGTGAGAGCTGTTTATGATGAACTGAAATGGCCAATCCTAAATAATAACCACAAACTTAACTCAACAGACTCACCATTCTTCTGAGGTTTTTCTTAGCTGTGCGCTATGCACTTGTTTCGTGAAGACTTAAAGTTGCACCTTCTTGCGGACAGGTTCCCCGCAGTTCAGTGGGTAAAGCAATTCAACGCGAAAGCGGTCTCAACTAGGAATACTAGCCTGGGAAACTTGTCCTTTTTTTTTTCTTTTGACTTCTTTTTCAGTTAACTAATTTTTTGGCTATTTGTGTTTGCTTTTTTCTCTTTGCTGGTCTTACTAATAAATAAGTGCCTGGGGTCTTTTTTTTAGTGGTTTACTTTTAAATAAGGCAATGTTATTTTCGAGTTAATGGTATGTTGAGCCTCCACCCAAAACCCTCAGTAACAACCACAAATGTAAGTCGATGAACTTCACCTTATCATGCTTCTTCATGGATTTGATCCTGGAGTAGATAGTACAATTGTTAAATATAAACTAAAAATTTAAGTTGATTTTCAGACAAGTTCCACGCAGCTCAGTGGGTAGAGCAATCGACCGTGTTAGACCTTTCTAATAATCAGTTTTTTAGGTTTTTTTTTTCGAGTTCATGGAGAGCGAGCGTTTTGCAAAAAATTCATAATTTGCCTTGGTGAAAGTCTTCTTTGATCTTTAATATCGTACTTCTTATGAAGATTCATTTCTTTACAAATTTGCCAAAACCCAATGGGGTTTCTAATGCGTTCCCCAAAGGGCGTAGAAACAAAAGTCTTGTTATATTTGTGACGGAACCATCATTAATTGGTTGGTTTCTCTACTCCATATTCATAGAAAATTCTAAACTTCTCGCAAACCAAACTGGTTGTGGACGGGTAAGGACGGTTTTTACCACGGACGTGTTTGATGTTGGAACAAGACTAAAGCTTGAAAGCTGTCTGAAGGTGAGCATTGTGCTAAGATTTCAAAGTTGCTAGTTTAATTCATTTTATTGTCCTTAGCCTGAGAGTAATGAGCAAAGTTTCTGAGTTAGTGCGCTTTCGGTTCACTTCATGCTTCGCCTTCGACTGGGAGAACTGTCGTTTATTTTGTTTGCATTGCAATTTGTAGAGAAAAGGTGCACCGGTCTGTAGTTGCAACAAATATTGAGTCAAATTTTGAAATAAATAATTCAAATTGGTTAATTTTATAAAGAAGAAAAAAATGGCTCTGCACATAATTTATCCAATTCACGTAGAATGATGCCACGTGTTTCTGCAGTCTTATGGCAATTGCATGCCTGTCTTAATTCGCAAATGTGCTTTGCGATGAAGTTCATCGGTGCCTATTAGAACATCGTTTTAGCATCTCAAATTCTGAAAACTCGATAAACTGGCCCTCGGACTTTGCTGTCGTTAGATTATTTTAAAAGTTAGGAATTGAACAACTTACTAAATACTGCTTTGCCTATTTCTATTTAGAGCGAACTTGGCTCACGGAGCAAGACAGCCGAATGAAAGAAGAACAAGAGGAAAACCTGGCTCAATCAGTGTAGAAGAAACTCTTCAAAGATAAGAACTTTAAAATTACTTTATTGTCTTAACATAAATGGTGGCTGCCACAATTAAGATTTATATTTTCTAGGGAATTTTAAAGAATAGGTTATCAGGATAGACCAGTTAAAAAAAAAACTGTGCAAGAGGTGATAACTTCTAAGAGTAGAAGTTATGCCAATAAGACTGATGTATAGGCTATGGCAGCCACCAATAGAGGTGAATTTTTAAAGGTGGCACTCTTGAGAGAAAGAAAATCTTGAAAAAAAAGTCTGAAAACTGGAACGATTAAAGATAGCATAGTTATCATAGTCATAATGACAAACTAAATTATTCAAACTTTCTCGTTTGTTACAGAAATCGCTATTTAGCCATGAGCCATTTTATCGTTTTGGCTTTAAAAATTCTTTATTTGGAAAAACTGAATTTTTTAGGGTCATTCTTCAAAAATTTGGTTGCTTCAGTCAGTGCCACCTTAAACTTTTCACACCCTAATAACAATAACCACTTTGCAATGGACAAGAGAACAAAGGCAACCAAAATTCACAAAAGTTATAATTATTCATTACACGGTTTGTTTCATTGGGTGAAGGAATTTTGCCATTTTTGTTGCTTCTTATAAGAAACAATACCACATTGTGGTTACACCACGTTAACGATACATTTACCGCTGTGCACAAGGACAATATTGACGAACAGTATGTCAATTAGAGAAGTTTAAAAGACTTAAATTAACTATACAACTGTACTTAGCTGTTTATGAAACGCAGCGAATCACGACAAATTACTCGACGAATCATCCTACAACTGTCATCATACAAAGCAGTTCCTTTTAATTGGACGAACGCAAATGGTTTGAAACGCACCGAATAATTTATCCGACAAACAAATATCAAGAATTTGATAATTACATAACCAACTAGAACGAGGATCTTATCAGACGAAACACCCACCGTTTTTCGGAACGGGCACTGATAGCAAAAACAACTGCAACGACAACACTGAGTCACTATTCTGTACTTTGAGGGCATGTCCGAGATTGTCTCGCGGATCATCTATCCCTAAAAATATACGAAATTACTGACCAACGT